GTGGTAGGGTACAGACTTTTGTTTTAGGATTGGTCCATTGTTGGAAGAAACCATTCTCCAAGGTATGTCAGGTATGGATCCAGATGTAGGTGAAGTGACCTAGCTGTCAGAAAGAAGTCACCTAGTTCTCAAGCTTTAGGCCGTCAACAGGATGGAACAGTCCACTCACTCTGCCATTATCCTACCAGGATATGAATTATTGATTAAAGTGGACTCTTCCTTGTGATAAACATGGTATTGGCAACCTCTTCTCAGAAATGTCACAAAGAGGACACTTCCGTGTGATTAACATGGTATTGGCCACCGCTTCTCAGAAATGTCACAAAGAGGACACTTCCGTGTGATAAACATAGTATTGGCCAACTCTCCTCAGAAATGTCTATCATTTTCCATAGATAATGGACTACCGTCAGTTTCTGTATTGATTTAATCTGTATCAGTATTGTTGTCTTCATGCCTTGTTGGTGTGCCCTTGTCCTGGTGATGGTACTGAGGTGATGAAGATAGTCATGATAATACTCTAGTGACATTGATTGTCATCATGATACGGTGGTTAGGATAAAATACACATGATGATCATTGTATAGTGATGTTGATTATCATTGAAATAATGTAGTGATGATGATAATGATGATACACTACTATAGTGATGTTGATTCAGAATGATGCTGATTATCATCAATACTATGGTGATGATTATGATAATCATTATAATGCTTTGGTGATGATAATCATGATAATACTCTGGTGATAATCATGATAATGCTTTGGTGATGATAATCATGATAATACTCTGGTGATGATACTCATGATAATGCTTTGGTGATGATAATCATGATAATACTCTGGTGATGATAATCATGATAATGCTTTGGTGATGATAATCATGATAATACTCTGGCTATGATAATCATTATAATAATCTGGTGATGATAATCATGATAATGCTTTGGTGATGATAATCATGATGATACTCTGGATATGATAATCATGATAATACTCTGGTGATAATCATGATAATGCTTTGGTGATGATAATCATGATAATACTCTGGTGATGATAATCATGATAATGCTTTGGTGATGATAATCATGATAATACTCTGGCTATGATAATCATTATAATACTCTGGTGATGATAATCATGATAATGCTTAGGTGATGATACTCTGGATATGATAATCATGACAATACTCTGGTGATGATAATCATGATAATGCTTTGGTGATGATAATCATGATAATACTCTGGCTATGATAATCATTATAATACTCTGGTGATGATAATCATTATAATACTCTGGTGATGATAATCATTTTACTCTGGTGATGTTGATTATTGGGTTGATTATCATGATAATACTATGGTGATGATGATAATAATGATGCTTTGGTGATGATAATCATGATAATACTATGATGATGTTGCTTATGGAGTTGATAATCATTATCAGATAATACAATATTGATGTTGAATATCATAATAGTTCAGTGATGTTGATTATTATCATAATACTATGGTGATGATGATAATCATGATAATGCTTTGTTGATGATAATCATGATGATGTTGATTATCACGATACTACGGTAGTGCAGATTATCACTTTAATACTCCGGTGATGTTGATTATCATGATTCTCTGGTGGTGATTACCTTAATTCTATCAGGATTATCGTAATACTTCTATGGTGATGTTGATAATGATAATAGTTCTATATAGTGGTGTTGATTATCACAATACTATGGGAATGGTAATCATGATACTATGGTGATACTTTACTATGATAATAAAGATAATGCTATAGTGATGGTAATAATCCTGATAATGGTAGTCATGGTGATATCACGATAGATTAGTGTTCATGGTAGTTCTGGGGTATTTGTGATAGTATGAAAAGCAAGGTAACAGTATCATGACTTACATTATTTATTTTTAGATGGAACAATATCTTTAATTTGAAAATTAACAGCTGTTAATGATTTCCTAATTTCAAATAGTCATCAAAATAGGCCAAACAAAATCCACTCTATAACAGTTAATAAAACAATGGTTTTAATATCAACAAGACAACTATTCCACTCCCTGCTATAAAGGATCATAAAGATCATGTACGCCTACAATATTTCTTCAAAACATCACATCCTGACTGTCATGTCACTACCAATATAGCTCATCTGACACAGTTGACAACAAACGCTATATCTGTCGCCAAGTCCGGCTACACTACGGGTCAGGTCACCTTGATAGAGTAGGTAAACTGGTCCTGGAAGAGTTGCGAACACTCACACCAATGGTCAGTGCAGCATGTACTGTTAGCTGTCTGTGACCCAGGTCACCAGGGGCTTAGTGCAGTCCTAGTTCACGCTGAGTACGGCTGCCCTGGCCCCATATGGCAAACCAGTGCAGCCGTTCCACCGACCGTTGACCTCTTTATGTTCGCAGGGGGTTGAATTAAAGCGTAATGACATTCATGGTCACAAGGTCATGTAGAAGGTCACACCAAGGGTTCAACCAAATCGCAGGGCAGGTTGACACTTGAGACTCAGTTCAAAGAGGACAAGGAAGAGGCCATTGCGGATTGAGATATTTGAGTACTGCATCCTGTTCCCCCTATGTTATAATAGACTGTTCTTGTCACTGTTGTATATCATGTAGTGATTATGGTCTAGTGTGTGGGAGAGTCTATGTGTGGATGTAATATGCTACTTGGAAGAGTCCAGTAATTGACAGATATTATTGTTGTGATGACATATGACATTTATACACAGACTGTTGGAAGTCCTGTGTGTGTCTAATTGAAAATGATTCAGTTACTGGTAGGTGTGAAGAAAATGATAGTCAGTGAAATACAGTATGAAAGAAATGTTTTCAGCAATCTTGAATGTCTGTTTGGAAAAAAACATTGGGCAAGTTATAAAAACATTGATTAAGATATGCCAGTGTTTTGACACCCACATGCAAAATGAATTTAAATGAATACAAAACTGTTTAAACCTTCATTGTTTGTGAGTCAGTTTAATCTTAGCAACTAAAAATGAACCGGTTTTGAAACTTTATTTTGTGATGATGATGATGATGGTGATTATTATGATGATGATGGTGATTATGATGATGATGGTGATTATGATGATGATGGTGATTATGATGATGGTGATTATGATGATGATGTACAGCCACAAAATGAGAATTGTAAAGATCAATACAATCAGGTGCTTGACATTTGTTGTTGCTCTGTGACATCGGACTGTGACATCACGCTTGCTGCTCGACTCCTGTCTGGAGTATATTCTTACCAATATGGAGGCGTGAAGACTGTGTGGGCTATGTTCATTTTCTCAAGGATGAAGTGTTTATTTGATATTGAGAGTATGTCGGTCTACAATATTGCATTGTTCTTACTGTTTTTAGAATATTATTGACAAAATTATAATTTGAGGTTTTGAAGGAAACAACATACAGAGTTAAGCTAATTGTCATTGATTTGTAAATTTAAAGACTTAACCAGAAGCACTTCACACTTTCATGATCAAGAATGTCTGCTTATGTTGTCATGGTGGAAGGGAGCTATGGTTACTCTGTGTTCAAGAAGTATTAAATAATGATTTTATACCTGCACATTTTCAAAGATTTGTTTAGTTCCAAATGAAATTTAAAGGCATCAAATTTTAACTTTGCCTTGTGTAATTATCCTAAATATTTTCGATTTGTTTTTCTTGATCAGAAGTATTAAGAAAAAAACAGCAACTCAAATCGTGCAAGACCCAGGGTTGATGAAACAGCAACGCTTTCGTTTCAGTTGAGGGTAACCGGATCTTGGGTTTGAATCCCAAATTCATCCCACATATAATTGGCATAACCATACCTTGCTTGTGGTTTCATAGCAACGACCGGCATCACTTTGGCTCATCCTGTCACACATAACTACTGACACATCATGATGTTAGTTATCACCTTGGCTACACCGAACCCACCCACTCACGCTTGTCTTGTGACCTTCACCTCTGCTGGTTTCGGCATAGTGACAGGGCGTCATGCAGCCGCAACCCAATAGCGGTAGTTGTGTTTCTGTATAGATTTCTCTATGGATGTGTTCCAGCTTGGATGACCTACAATATTATACTCTTTAAATAGTTGGCCATGTCGGATGTGATGTTATTTATCATCTGTTGTCCGCTTCTCGTAGAGTAAACCACTCCAAAATTTTAAAGGAAAAATGATGAAAAAATCATTTATTTCATATGGCAGACTTAATGCAAGTAATGTGTAATCAGACAAAATAATGGAAAGTTCTTTAGAGCTCGTGTTGATCATGGCACGAGATAATGATGTCATAGACACTAACGAAACCAAATTAACTGCAAATCAAACTTGCCCACCTCCCTGTATAGGCCCGAGGTGAGGTGAGGTGAGGTGAGGTGAGGTGAGGTGAGGTGAGGTGAGGTGAAATGGGGTTTAACATCGCATCCAAGATTATTGCACGTATATAGCGATGTGCAAGTACGTGTGTGTGTATGTGTGGTTGCTTGTACTAGTCCAGACTGATGCCGATTTATAGTGCTAGCTCACTGAGGTACATGCCGCAGTTTAACATGAATACCCCACTCAGACACAGTGTACTGACTCCGAGCCGACCAGTCAGCTTAATGTGGGAGGAAAGCCCGAAGTGATGCTGGTCTTAGAAGTTTACCACTTCGGTGAAACCCAGGAGCACGGGTATGGTGCTGACAAACCTAGAAACATAATCAGGGCGAATGGGGATTCAAACCCACAATTATAGGTTTCTGGCATGCCCAAGGTTTGCAACTCTGCACAGCGAATCGCGGCGCTTTAGACGACTGGGCCACCCGTGCCCCTCGTGAGTAGGAGAGATGCTCAGGTCAGAACTAAAGAAACCATAGCAACAAGCCCTTAAATTGGGGTAGAATGGAGACAAAATGAAGATATTGTATGGAGATATTGGTTTCCTAATTATGACCTCTGACCTTCTCCATTTTGCAGCCCGATCAACAACGGAGTGTACCGCTGTGGGTTTGCACGGAGCCAGGAGGCGTACGACAGCGCTGTCACTGAACCATTCCAGGGACTGTGTAAGATAAAGCAACAAGTTGTGCAGAAGAAAAGTACACTTTCTTAATTTACGCCTTCATGGGAAGTCCAAGTTAGAATAGGTCCCCAGCAACCTCTGTTTGTCATAAGAGGTGACCAAATGGATAGGGTGGTCAGACTCGGGGACTTTGTTGACTGTGCCTTTATACATGTATACTCCGGCGACGGATTGGATCCTTGCTCAAAACATCCGACACTGGTTTGGCGTTGGACTCGAAACAGTCTCTGTGTCCAATATGAATGCCCAAGGCTAGTGTTTCACACAGGGATCACAGCACTGCAACAGCTTATGTTTGACCGTTCCGACACTCTGATTGATTTGACAGCGCCAGCCACAGAGTGATCACAGCACTGCAACAGCTTATGTTTGACCGTTCCGACACTCTGATTGATTTTGACAGCGCCAGCCAGAGTGATCACAGTCTGATGGGTGTTGAAGGGGACACAGGTCAGTATGTGGGCATCTTATGATGGGCCATCCAATCCTTTCAGTCGCCTTGTATGACAGGCCTAGGATGCAGGAGACCAACTGGGTATTCTGTCGGAATCGCCACAGGTCTGAACACTCACAATATAGTGCACAATATAGTACGTTTGATGTGAAGAAACACACACATTTCCAAGAGAACTAATTGCATAAGCTTGTGAGATTAGAACTGTATTGAACTAGAAGATACATTATGCAGTTCATGTCAATGATGATGTTTCTCTCTGATGGTGGATTCCGTGAAGGGGCGAAAGAATATTAATACAACACACCGCTGAGTATCAGGAATAATACCAATAAAACATGTTGATGAACATATTAAGTGTTGTATTTTGTTTTATAGTTGCAATGGATAGAATTATCATTAAACCGCCCGTATGTTATCAGAAATGAGTGGGACACTGTAGCTTGATAATGCCCTCATATTGCTTGACGACGGGCCATTATACAACAAAAATGTCATCTGGAATCTTCAAGAACAGCTATTGACTAATCCAGCATGGAGTGAGTGAGTGAGTGAGTATGGTTTTACGCCGCTTTTGGCAATCTTCCAGCAATATCACGGCGGGGGACACCAGAAATGGGCGTCACACATTGTACCCATGTCAGGAATCGAACCCGGTTCTTCGGCGTGACGAGCGAACGCTTTAACCACTAGGCTACCCGACCGCCCCAATCCAGCATGGAATGGAACTTTTTCACATTTTCACCCTGGATATCAAACCTATGTGTATTTTGGAAGCTTGACCACTGTTGCTGCTAGGTGAATTTTATTATATCTGTCTTTATTTCTATTTCCACTGCTACTGTATTATAAACTGCCTTTGTAATTGTACAGTACTCCTAGTTAATTTTATAAGACGATTGTTAATTGTGTAACATTCCTTTGTTATTTATTAGCTTAACACTGAATTCTATAGCATATAGCATGTATAGAATTCTGGATAAACATATTGTTTCAGTTTGGAAGTCGACATGTTACTGTTTGGCCAATTAGAAAGTTCACCTGACTTGACTTTCTATGGAAATATTTAGGAGGTATCGTATCAGAGTAAAAGGTTGGATTTAGATTAGATTGGTATTTTGCCTTGATTGTTGATTCTTGTCTTCATTCTGAACAGAGTTATCTCCCTTTCCTTAGATTTACATTTAAACTGTTTGTTCTTGAGTGAGTGAGTGAGTTGGGTTTAACGCCGCTTTTAACAGTATTCCAGATATATCCCAGGGTGACAGCTTAAAGTGGGAGGAAAGCCCGAATTGATGCAGGTCTTAGACATTTACCGCTTTGGTGAAACCCACGAGCACGGGAATGGTGCATAATCGGGGCAAACCGGGATTCAAACCCACAATCATAGGTTTCTGGCGTGCCCAAGGGATGCAACTCTGCACAGCGAATCAGGGCACCTTAGACGGCTGGGCCACCCGTGCCCCCGTCTGTTCTTGAAGACTGACCAACATTTCAAGAGTGTGAATATTTGTGCACCATGCAAGACACTTACGTAAATAGACTGAATGTAGTCATTTCTTACAGTTGTGAACATGGTGAAAGGTAGCAAAGTTAAGGAAAAATTGTTTTATAACTATGCTAACCACTGTGTTATAGCTGGAATATTGCTGAGTGTGGCAATACAACATAGATATCTTGTGACTACGGGAATTCTTTAAACAGTCACGGCTAGCAATAGGTCTTCAGTAACCCATGCTTGCCGTAAAAGGCGACTATGCTTGTCGTAAGAGGCAACTAGAGGGATCTGGTGGTCAGGTTCACTGCCTTGGTGGATACAAGTTTTCTTATCCCAGTTGTGTGGACCGATACTCATGATGTCAATCTTTGGATTGTCTGGTCCAGACTCGATGTGTCTTTTTCACAGACTGCCGTCATATAGCGGGAATATTGCTGAGTGTGGCGTTAAACAACAAACAAAACAACGTTATTCACTGTTACGCTATCTTTCTGTGTGTAATTTGGACAAAATCTCAGAGCACAAACCTGCAATATATGTATCAAACAAAACAAATACATCACCGAGCATTGTAAACTTTATTTCTCACATGGAAGTGAGTTTAAATGCAGTTTTGGTCATAAGTTCATGGGATCTCAGACATGTCATACCTCAAACGCATTCATCCTCTTAAACACTTAAGATTCAGAAGATAAAAAAAAAGCTCACCTGGTACATATGGACAGTTCAAATATTTGTTGTAGGTAACCCTGGTAACCTTTTCAACCCTGGTAACCTTGTGTTCAGGGGATTAAAAACACTTCCATTAAATTGACACAAACATAGGTTTGTTTGATGTTTGGCCAATATTGCTTCAGTGCTGACACTATATTGAACTATTCAAATCACATTGCAAGTATTACAAAATTTACAGGCCCCCAATAGAATATAAAATTCTTTATTGCCTATGTTCGATGAGAGCATCAACATCTGTTTACAATGCCAAGGATAAGGGATTACAAATGTCCATTTTTGCTATTATAGCGGACTGATCTCTTTACTGGGTTCTAGTCTTAACATCTTGTAGTAATGGTCATGATGGTATTAACGGTGACATGAACAAAGTTTTGTTCCTAATTCACCCACCATCAGTCAGTTTTATCAGCTCTGGTATCAGGCCCTTTGATAGTCAGAGGTTCTTATGGCACACACTTGAGAACCTTTTCCCAAGACTTCTATCCATACATGCATTGATCAATTGTGTGTCTTGAACACCTGACTCCCTTCATCCGACAATAGGAAACCGATCTGTTGACTTCGACATGAGTGCTGTACTGGCCACATAACCATGGTAACAGGCTCCTTGTTTTGTCATATCTGCCAACTGTCCAGGGACATCCAGAGTTATCCTCAGTCATCCTTCAACACAGGAAAGGCTAGTCCCAATGATTCCCAGGATGAGCTCTGCAGGTCCAGGTAGACACCGATCACCGACATGTTCTCCCATTCAGGTCCCGAGTGAGTGAGTGAATGAATGTTATCCTGCCATTGTCAACAATACGCCTGTTGTATACTGGTGGCCTGTAAATAACTGACTCTCGGGAACACAAACATGGTGTTGATAGCATAAGCAACAACCCACAATTGGGCATCTTAATATCAGCCACGTCACTCACCATATCCACCTCCTCCTGATTGGTCAGCCCTGTTGTCATGGGATACAGGGTCTCAACACACACACACTCCGGCGCAGTGGTGACTCAGCATAACACCACTGCCACAGGCTAATTTGCATATCACGTGACCGGACTTTTCTCTTGTTTGTAAACAAACTCGCTTTTTCAGAAATCAGTATAGAACGGACTAATGCAAGTATTTTGGGGCGCTTTACATATTGTTTTGCATAATTATATAAATAAGCTACTACAACTGCGACAGTGAGTTGCATGACAATATATATTTATGCATCAAAGTGACCGTATGGCTAGCTCTCCGTTGGGCTTCGATGACAGCACGTGGAGCCTTACAACCAATGTAAACAAATGATAACTACGCAAAAACATGTAGATTTTCACGTATTTGGATTCTTTCTGAATGAACCGTAACCATTCTTTGACATTTGTTTATGAAAATGTGTAGACTTGTCAAACATGAAATGGATGAAAAGCATATGCAATATCTTGTATGGTCTGTCAAAGATGTGACGAATCGTCACATGGCGCTGGCCTGTGGCAGAGGTACTATGCTGGCTGGCTGCCGGCCGGCTGCAAGGAACTCTGGGTAGGAGAGTGTACTATGCTGGCTGGCTGCCGGACACAAGAAACTCTGGGTAGGAGAGTGTACTATGCTGGCTGGCTGCCGGCCGCAAGGAACTCTGGGTAGGAGAGTGTACTATGCTGGCTGGCTGCCGGACACAAGAAACTCTGGGTAGGAGAGTGTACTATGCTGGCTGGCTGCCGGACACAAGAAACTCTGGGTAGGAGAGTGTACTATGCTGGCTGGCTGCCGGACACAAGAAACTCTGGGTAGGAGAGTGTACTATGCTGGCTGGCTGCCGGACACAAGAAACTCTGGGTAGGAGAGTGTACTATGCTGGCTGGCTGCCGGACACAAGAAACTCTGGGTAGGAGAGTGTACTATGCTGGCTGGCTGCCGGACACAAGAAACTCTGGGTAGGAGAGTGTACTATGCTGGCTGGCTGCCGGACACAAGAAACTCTGGGTAGGAGAGTGTACTATGCTGGCTGGCTGCCGGACACATGGAACTCTGGGTAGGAGAGTGTACTATGCTGGCTGGCTGTCGGCCGCATGGAGCTCTGGGTAGGAGAGTGTACTATGCTGGCTGGCTGTCGGCCGCATGGATCTCTGGGTAGGAGAGTGTACTATGCTGGCTGGCTGCCGGCCGCATGGAGCTCTGGGTAGGAGAGTGTACTATGCTGGCTGGCTGTCGGCCGCATGGAACTCTGGGTAGGAGAGTGTACCATGCTGGCTGGCTGCCGGCCACATGGAACTCTGGGTAGGAGAGTGTACTATGCTGGCTGGCTGGCTGCCGGACACATGGAACTCTGGGTAGGAGAGTGTACTACGCTGGCTGGCTGTCAGCCGCATGGAACTCCTGGTAGGAGAGTGGTCAACACAGTGGCATGTTCATGCGACTCAGTCGGAGAATGAACTCCAGGAGGTACATCTGAAGGCGGATCTCCTGCCTGTTGTTGGTCACAAAGAATCCCGGGACTCCAGCCTTCTCCAGCATCACCTGCTGGTCCATGACCTTCTGGTCAAGGTCAAGAATGACCTTCATGTCCTTCTTCTTCAACTCCTCGTCACAGCGTTTGGTCATTGTCTGAATCAAAACAATGCAAAACTTGAGAAACTGGGACCTATTTATTTTGTCCACATACATATTATATATCTTATGGGATGATACTGACCTCCTACTATATATAAAGGCTATCTGCTCTATCTCAGCTACCACTGCCAAGTACTGACCTCCCACTTTATATCAAGGGTATCTGCTCAATCTCATCTACCACTGCCAAGTACTGACCTCCCACGTTATCTCACAGCTACCACTGCCAAGTACTGACCTCCCACATTATCTCACTGCTACCAGTGCCAAGTACTGACCTCCCACTTTATATCAAGGCTATCTGCTCAATCTCATCTACCACTGCCAAGTACTGACCTCCCACTCTATATCAAGGCTATCTGCTCAATCTCAGCTACCACTGCCAAGTAATGACCTCCCACGTTATCTCACAGCTACCACTTCAAAGTACTGACCTCCCACATTATCTCACAGCTACCAAAGCCAAGTACTGACCTCCCACGTATCTCACAGCCACCACAGCCACCACTTCCAAGTACTGACCTCCCACATATCTCACAGCTACCAAAGCCAAGTACTGACCTCCCAAGTTATCTCACAGCTACCAAAGCCGAGTACTGACCTCCCACGTATCTCACAGCCACCACTTGCAAGTACTGACCTCCCACATATCTCACAGCTACCGCTGCCAAGTACTGACCTCCCACGTCATCTCACAGCTACCAAAGCCAAGTACTGACCTCCCACGTTATCTCACAGCCACCACTTGCAAGTACTGACCTCCCACGTATCTCACAGCTACCACTGCCAAGTACTGACCTCCCACGTCATCTCACAGCTACCAAAGCCAAGTACTGACCTCCCACATTATCTCAAAGCTACCACTGCCAAGTACTGACCTCCCACGTTATCTCACAGCTACCAAAGCCAAGTACTGACCTCCAACGTATCTCACAGCCACCACTTCCAAGTACTGACCTCCCATGTATCTCACAGCTACCACTGCCAAGTACTGACCTTCCAAGTTATCTCACAGCTACCACTGCCAAGTACTGACCTCCCACGTTATCTCACAGCTACCACTGCCAAGTACTGACCTCCCATGTATCTCACAGCCACCACTTCCAAGTACTGACCTCCCACGTATCTCACAGCTACCACTGCCAAGTACTGACCTCCCACGTATCCCACAGCTACCACTGCCAAGTACTGACCTCCCATGTTATCTCACAGCTACCACTGCCAAGTACTGACCTCCCACGTTATCTCACAGCTACCACTGCCAAGTACTGACCTCCCACGTTATCTCACAGCTACCAAAGCCAAGTACTGACCTCCCACGTATCTCGCAGCCACCAATTCCAAGTACTGACCTCCCATGTATCTCACAGCTACCACTGCCAAGTACTGACCTCCCAAGTTATCTCACAGCTACCAAAGCCAAGTACTGACCTCCCACGTTATCTCACAGCCACCAATTCCAAGTACTGACCTCCCACGTATCTCACAGTCACCACTTCGAAGTACTGACCTCCCACGTTATCTCACAGCTACCACTGCCAAGTACTGACCTCCCACGTTATCTCACAGCTGCCAAAGCCAAGTACTGACCTCCCAAGTATCTCACAGGCACCACTGCCAAGTACTGACCTCCCACGTTATCTCACCGCAATCACTGCCAAGTACTGACCTCCCATTCCCGCTCTATCTGTGACTGCACCAGTGGCAGGTTGTGGGGCTTGGTCTGACATGACTGGATCATCTCCTTGTGCTTCTTCTGCATCTCGTGACGCTGAGCTACAAACATCAGTCACAATCAGAAGTAATGCACGTCCTTGAGAGTTTCTGATACAGTAACAGTATTTGAATCTGTGACAGCCTAAAACAATGACTGTTAAAGGGGCACTTATCTCTGGCGTCTGACACTAACCGCTAGAGTCGATTTGCTCGCTAACGCATCTGAGCATGACAAGAGACTGGGCTTCCGTCTGCAAGGACAGCTAAATAAACTTCGAGGCAATATTTGTTTTACGCATTTTTGAACACTGATTGGTTACCTGTGATCTATGAAAATTTTGACAAAGGGTACATGTTAATTAATTTCTTCAGCCTAAACAAACAGACAAAAGGAATGGTGGAAGCTCATTGGATGTTGTTATTTGGAAATACCCCTAATGGTTATGGTTTAATAATAAAAAAAAGTATCCACGAAGTGAAAGCATTTTCGGATTTCGGATTGCGTGGATAATATTATTACTACTCCCTTGTTGTTATTCATGTTTTCTGGTATATTTTTTGGTATTCACTTGATGTTCAGTTAATGAATTTATTACAGGTATAATTAGCACCACTCAGATTACCTGATAAAGGTTCCCATTTGGCATTTCTTGTGTCTGGGGTAATTATTCAATCTAAATCCAGGTTTGAAGTGAGGTGAAATGTCTGTTATGTAATATGCATGTGGCAGCCAAGCAAGAGATGAATGATCAGTTGATTTACTTTTTTGTAAATCAACGGATCATTCCTAGTCATCAAAAGATCAATTAAAAATATATTGTTGATTGATTAATCACTGTTATCTTGCACAGTGGATATGTCAAAAGTAAGTGTTTACTGTGTAGGTTTACTAAAGCAAAGAGAATACACTCATATCATGGCGTGAAGTGCCAATGTAAAAACAACATACCCCGGTACTTTGTTCAAAGGGTTAACCGATAATACAGATGGACATATTTTTCAGTCAATTTGTAAAATAAGTGAATATTTTGGTGTTTGATAAATTTCCTAGTGAAAATTTTGCACATTTTGACTGTAAAAATATAAACACGATAAAAAAAGCAATGCTCAGGTGAAATATTTACTGTGTTGCAAGTCAAAATAGTGTAAAGGAAAATCGCACAGTTGCCAAGCAAGTGACCTATCAAAACTTTGTCACCATTACCGATGCTACTCACAAAGATACCTACATTTCCTTATTATTTCCAAAACTGTATTTCATTTTGTGGATCAATGTGACCATACGCCCTTATACTATCAATACAAGTGACAAATGCTCTTACAAAACGCGCAGCACGGGTCGCAAACTAGTCTAGAATTCTGCTACATCATCCGGGTACTCACGGGGGAAAAAACAATAACAAAGGCAACAACCAGTCCCGGGGAATAGCTTTAGATCAGTACCCCTTTAAGTGCAATTCTTGATAAGCTTACAGAGAAGTGTTGGGGAATTGTTTTAGATCAATGCCCCTTTAATGCTCGGGTAAGGACAAAGACTGCTTGGCCTTTGAAAATTGCACATTAGTATTAACAAAATCACATATATGTCTTGTCAATGGTCACTTGGTGAGTGTCTGAAAACGTTGGGTTGAACACTGGTTTGAAAAGTAAACATACCCTGTGAAAAGTCCATTTGACAATGTTTTTCAGCTAATAAGATCATGGCAGACACACTCCCATTTGTTTTACTATGAGAGCTATGAAGAGTTACCTACCCTTGTGTTCACTGTTGAGCTTTGACCGCTGGTTGAAGAGACTCTTCTCCTCAAGATGCTGCACCTCCTCCAGGCTCCGGACAATCTCAAACACCGTCCCGTCCAGCAGGGCATTGGCCAGGCCAGACAGGAGGTCGTAGGGCAGACGCTGCTGGAACTTCCTACAACAGCGACATTTAAACTGTGTGTAGGTGAGGGCCTGGACAGTTTCACTGATTTAGATCTCTTGCTACCATATCCAGTGAAAGAAACTACAGTATTCAACGTAATAAGCACTCCGCTCTAATAAGCGCCCACAACGGTATTTGCTAATATATTGGCTAGTGATCAATCCGTATGAGCACCCCTTCCGATTGATCAATGTACACAAGGCTTATTTATTCGCGTATAATACGCACTTGTGTGTTATATGCACCCTTAATTATGAGCAATTAAATTCTGGAAAAATATACCTGTTGTACATAAACATTTCAGGCTGTCAGCATAAACCACAAAATTTATCTTTCAACTCTGTTTTTTTCACCAAAATAATATTCTAATAAGAGCCCCCTATTTCTAATTTTGAGAGCGGCCTGGGCGCTCATTACGTCGAATATGGTAAATTAATTAGTTCTGGTCTGAATATTTTTTAAAGTGACTCTTTCAACAGGTTAAATGAAATGTTTATGCATGTTCCACTATCCCAGCCTATAGTCCACTTTAGGGCAACAATTCCATCTTAAGAATTTCTTTCTCATATATTTACCAAGCAGACGTTTGTTTTCCTTTTCATCAACAGACCACAAGGTTTTAAAATCTATTTCACTGTTGGTTCATATCCTGACTGCCCATACCTGTTAATAGGTTCTCTGTCCTATTGGAGATAACTCTCAGGCAGGATTATGTCCCTTGGTGCTTTGTTGTTTATTGGCGTATTTGTAGTTTAAAGCAATGAATTAACAATGATTAAAGCATTACTTCTAAGCAAAGTGAGCCATAGATTTCTGCCAACTAGGAGCAGTCATTCGTCACCACTCGCCCCTTTCCGTAACCTGCAAGAAGACTCGTCCCCCTATCAATGAATGTTATGTGCGAAAATACGACAAACCAATCAGAATGCGCGTATGCTTTCAAGTTCTTCATCAAAGAATCCCTCAGAAATATTTTTTTATTTTACATATGTCTTGCATATAAAACTATACCATGGATACAGTTAAATGTGTTCAATCATACTGTATAATTCCGCACGTCTCGATGTGCTTTAAATTGCATCTGAAATATATATACTATATGGGAAAAGATATGTGAACCATTTTGCAACGAGTTGACAATTGTTTTAGGTATGCCCGTTTGCGCTAAGACGGAACCCTGTAGCAATGAGAGGGGCACGCGTCGCTCTTCGGCTTGTCCCAGAATAACACGAGTTGGTCACGAATGTAAGAGCAGTCTCACAATATCATATACTGATAGTTATCTCCAGGAAATGATGAACAGTATCTATACATTCATACGCTCTGAGCATGGATGGAGCATGAATTGTTTTGTTATTCTTTACTTAGCCTCTGTGATTATCACTGTCATGAGGGCGTTCATGACAACAGTAACATACACATGTTACCACATTATTTCAAGCACAGGAATACATATCTGTACACATGCACACACACAAATTTTAGGCCTCATAGATTACATGGGTCAATAAAAGTTGAAGTTGAAGTTGAAGCTATGTATTCCTGTGGTTCAAGCATGTCTCACATGGGCAGTTCTCTTGCCATGCTCTGCAGTTCACTGTTCAGGAGGTAGTGATTCTTCTGGCGCTGCTCTTTGAGGGACTGATCATCGTTTGACTGAGGATCCCCAGCATTCATTGTGCTGCATTTCACGTACATACGTCAGTGCAGAAAACCTGCAAATGTGGAAGAAGATGACAATGTTAATGATGCACAGCATCTACAGATGTGACCATATATCATTAAAAAACTTTAAAGGACATTTAACATGTTGTTAGATGAAAATATTCATATCCACTTTGAGATAAATTAACCGAGAAGCTGATAAAGATAAAACATTTAGCACACGATTATGTACAGTATGAAGGGTTATAGCTAAAACGGCACCTCAGCAAAATGTCACCAAGCGAAAACAGCACAGACTGGCGAAAACAGCACAGACTGGCGAAAATGGCACCTCGCCTAAAGTGAGACGGCAACTTGCCTGGCGAAAACAACACCTTATTTTTCTTTCCTTGGTACTGAAATAAGTAAAATTAAACTCACATGGTCACTTGCAAACACAAATAATTGTGAAGTTTTAAAACAAGTTTACATTAGAAACTAGCCTGTACTCCAATTTACTCACAGATTCTTTGATTGGGAGGGGCAACTAAACTTATTGTGAAAACATCACATGCTTTGAAGTTTTAAGTACCTTTATACTCAAATTAACTTAATGTCAAGCTGAAACTGTATTTAAGACAATATTCAACTGTGAACAACTGTGAAAATCTGCTAAAGACAAGACAATACAATGTAAATAAATCAAATATTCTGCAACATTACATAGTAAAGCATGTAAATAAAGCACATACTACATAGATCGCACAGACCCCTGATTCATATATCGGTCCGGTGTTTCAGTAACTACTTTAGGTGCCTTTGATAAATCGTCCTTATCGTTTTTAAAAAGAAGAGATGCCGTTTTCGCCAAATGAGGTGACGTTTGGCTGAGGTGCCGTTTTAGCCTGCACACCAGTATGAAGTCATTGATAATGATATGGCCTGAACAAATCGTAAAGTCTAAATAAGGTTTGCATCTCTATAAGACCAAACATGCTTAACACAGTGCAGGCCTGGTGTTCCCAAAGCCTGGAATATCGCCTGGTGTCTGTCCCACGCAAATGTGTGTTTGGGGACTACGGAATCAATAGCCATATTGCCCAGGTAAGGATATTGGCAAAACCAGTGGACGACAATTGTCGATCGAAAACTGAACAACTGTAACAGCACGTAACCTCGCACAAAGCCGTGGGCACATTCGCATTGAAATATGCTCAGATTATGAACAATTGTTAGTAGAAAATAATGGATAGTGGCTGAAAGGCCTACATGGAAGAGCCATAATAATGTCAGTATTTTTTATATTTTCTCGCGTGAGAAAGAAAGACCAAAGACTCACAACAAGCTCCTTCCCAGCGCGTGACACCTTCGTTACACTCTCGGTAACATCACCAGTGTGGGCGCGGCCATTACAAGAATCTTGAAATTTGCCCTCCAACCCCATATGTAGTAATGTTTATACTTTTGTTTATGTCTTTGGGAATGCCATCATATTTCAATTTGAAAAGCTTTACGACTGACCATGTTTTCCAGATGAATTTACTTTGTTGTTTTGATAATCAGATTGGTTCGAGATTGCAGACTAACGGAAAATCAACCAACTTCTCCCTTACATTCTTACTATATCAATAACACGATAGTTTTAATGAAACAGAAATTTAAATTGACAAACGAAGAAAGTAATTTAGCAGCGATAAGTGTATTCGGCGTCACGACAGTCGTCACTTGTTTGTAAACATAACGGCCATTCGATTGCGAGTTCAACTCCAAGCATGGTTGTGGCCACCTATTCACAGTGTGGAGTTTTGACTGGTGGCAGCGATAGTATAGAGAGCTCCGGGAACGTACTATCGCTGTGAGGAGTTTGGACTCACAAGGGTCAAGGGACGCAACTCTGGTTGAAGCAAAGCTCCTTACCGTGACATACTACACAAACGCCGTTTGAAGTTTTGGAGAAAACGTCCACAGGCGCACACGCATCTTACAGTCATTATTTCTTTCTTCAATGGGCATTTTCGATTTTATCTTAAACATTTGTTTGCCTATGACGGCGGCCTGTAAATAAGCGAGTCTGAACCAGACAATCAGGTGATTGACATTATGAGCATCGATCCACGCAACAGTACCACCATGTCACTTCGTATATTTCCTGTTTTGTTTTGTTTTGAATTCCGACATTTCAACAAGTAACTGCTGCATTGATCTGTTCGTTTATTACAAGGATGGGGCAGTGTTTTACGAGGACTATACATGGTGTTAGGTGTGCGTGCATGTTGTTTTAGGTCAGTTTACATTATAAATTGACTCCATATTTATCATGACATACCCTCAAAGCAGTATATTTATTTCACGACCATTTGAAACCATGAATTTGTTTTAGACCATGAACTTTGTGAACCGCTGATAATGTCATAATTACATCATCAGTTTGAATTAAGTTTCTAAAAGTATGAACCTACACATTTTATTGACCATGGCAAGTTGCTATTGCTAATTTTGATAACTGCTATAAAATTAGCAACTTTCATTTCAGATTATTCATAGGCCAATATTAGGACACTTCGAAGCGTTTGTTTGTTGAACCTGGTTAAATTTACTGATTAACTTGGTAGAAATGCAGCTGTCCAAGACTTGATTCTGTGTATATCTTCTTGTTATTAATGAACTACTATCAACAATGATTACACGATATATATATTTATTACGACCACAAACTCTAAATTACACAAAGAACATAATTAACTGCATATCATTGAGGAAGTCAATAGTATTGTCACATCAAGCACAAAACACATTATTAACATACATATTAAAAGCAATATTCTATTTCTACATCATCATATTTTTTGGCTATAGTGTTCAAGTTGAATAGGTTGCACATACTCAGTATGAACTGTACCAGCAGACACAAACGTCAACTGCTAATTTGGATTTGGTAATGTTGGATTTGAACGACATCTTCGTGCTGACAGTGACACTAAGCATGCCAATGTTGCCACTAGTGAACAGAGGAAGCGTAAGAACAAGAGGTCCAAAGTGGCAAATTTCATGAGAAAGACAAATGTTCAATTCAGTATTTATATAAAGAGGTAAAAATCACTAGTGTACAGCAGCACACATATCAAGAAATTCACAAAATAATCACACGACACAACATGTTTTATGAAGATAAAACTGAATTCCTGCAGTACTTGTGTTGTTATGTTAGCATGTTAATCGTACCGGTTGAGGTACACTGTTGTAAGTAATACTAAATATAGAATTTTAGATTCAGCCGTTCATCATACAAGTACTCCCGGAATAAGAGCTGTTTGAAAACTGTAACTTATCACACATGAAAAAGTAGTGAGCTTTCGCTGAAAAATATTCTTAGGAGTAATGACTGATATACACATGGACAAAAGACGTTGCCAACTTAAATCTCCGATGATATCTTATTATGTAGAAATGTTTTCTATAACTATATCTTAATAATATTATTGATATTACATAATGCTACACACTTGTTTATAATATTGTTGATATTACATAATGCTACATTATTGTTTACAATATTATTCATATTACAAAATGCTACACCATTGTTTTCCCCCCATCTGTCAAGGTCACGGAAACGGAAGTGTTCTAGGGCTGAAGAATACAGAAAAGACAGACACGGTCTGCTACGATGCACGTACAGCCTTTGGCAAATAAGTCTGTTGCAGGTTTCAAAGAGTAGATAGATGTATTCAACCTTCGAGTCACTCTTTCAATTTGACATTCCCTGAATTACATGTTATATCTATGGTTTTACATATTTCTATATTTAATGGACATTGGGAAATACGTTGCTCCGTGAACTGGACGCCGTCCTCGGCACGACGCGACCAGAATTAAAATAAATCAGAAGCAGACATCTGAAAGCAGAGGAAAGGCCATTGAAAGGAAGATTTGCATAGTAGAAACATCGTCACCCATTTACGACTAGAGGATATATAGGGCTTATTAGAACAAAAACAAAGCATATATAACAGATGACATCATGATATTATATTAGAGTTTTCAGTATTATATAGGTAAAGCTGAGGTATTCTCTTAACAATTCATCATGTCTCTGTTAGCAGTAATTATATTCTCTATATTTTCAGATGAAAGAAAGTTCGGGACGTCGTGGGGAGGGTGTTCAACACCCAGGACTGCCAGGGAGCCATTATAACCCTTGATGGCAGAAGTTCAGCCTTGCTGCAGAATCCTGCTGGTGGCTGGATGGTTGTCGACAGCCATGCCAAGGATGTTTTAGGCGCCACTGACGTTGATGGAAAGTCAAGTCTTCTAAAGGTTTCCTTTCCCCGAGTCAAGTGGTGGCTTATTACACTGACATGGCAGTTAGACAGACCCAGTACTCACTGACAGGGTCCAAGACTTAACCTTTCGAGCAGTCCTTCTATAAGTCAAAAGGTGACCTGTTACAGTGACATGGCAGTTAGACACACCCAGTACTCGCTGACAGGGTCCAAGACCTAACCTTTCGAGCAGTACACTGCCACTCCCAACTTCGTATGGGGCCAGTTTACCAGAGAGTAGACTTGTGACATTACTTTCCGATCAAAACACTCTGGTACACAGTGCAAATCTCGAGGCATTCACCGCCATTTGTGACTTTGCTTTGCCATCAAAACACTCAGGCACTACGGTGAAACCATGGTGACATTCATCGCCATTGTTGCAAGTGCAGATGTTCCTGTCGGTCTCTGGACTCGTCTCTTGACGTGTGACATGGGGGACCGCCTTCATGTAGCCATCCTCTGCTCGATAGGAAGCAGCTAGCATCAACAACCATCTGACAGCCGATGGCCTGTGACAATGTCTGGTGCAGCCGATGGAACTAATACATCTACTACCATGCACTTACAACCTTTTGCAAATAAGTCTGTTGCAGGTGTCAAGGAGTAGATAGATGTATTCAACCTTCGAGTCACTCTTTCAATTTGACATCCCCTGAATTACATGTTATATTTATGGTTTTATATATCTGTATATTTAATTGAAATACGTTGCTCTGTGGACTAGACGCCGTACTCGGAACGATGGGAATTGGGTCTTCTGTGAACCAAAGTGAAAATAAATCAGAAGCAAACATCTGACAGCAGAGGAAAGGCCATGGAAGGCCAGATTAGCATGGTACAAATATCGTCACTGAAACGTTTTACACGCAAATAATACCTTGCCCATTTACGACTTTGGGCTATATAAGGCTTATTAGAACAAGAGTAAAGTATATATAACAGATGACATCATGATATTATATTAGGATTTACAGTATTATATAGGTAAAGCTGAGGAATTCTCTGAACTATTCATCGTGTCTCTGTTGGCAGTTATTATATTCTCTATATTTTCAGATGAAAGAAAGTTCGGGACGTCGTGGAAAGGGTGTTCAACGCCCAGGACTGCCAGGAAGCCATTATTACCCTTGATGGCAGAAGCTCGGCCTTGCTGCAGAACCCTGCTGGTGGCCGGATGGTTGTCGACAGCCATGCCATGGAAATTTTAGGTGCCACTGACGTTGATGGAAAGTCAAGTCTTCTGAGGTTTCCCCCCTGGTTATAATGCCACTTTTCGTCGTAATATGGCATTATAACGAGGGATGTGAAAAACGGACCTTACTGATATTATATAGAAAAGGGAAATGCCAATATATTTAATCTTATAGAAAAGGATATGATTAACATAAAACTAGTTAAAGGTTATTTTAAGAAAGTGATTGATTCTCTGTGCAAGGATTAGCTGTGAAAACAACTGAGATCAATCCTATTAGTTTGTTAGTTTAGAAGAGGGAATAGTCTCCAAAAATTAACCACATCGCAAATTTGTTGTTAATTTTTTTTAAAATATGGCATACCCAGGGAATTCGAACGCTTGTTCTGATAAAAACTGGCACTGGCAATTAACAGCTAATAATACCTTGCCCATTTTCGACTTGGGGCTATATAAGACTTATTAGAACAAGAGTAAAGTATATATAACAGATGACATCATGATATTATATTAGGATTTTCAATATTATATAGGTAAAGCTGAGGTATTCTCTTAACAATTCAGCATGTCTCTGTTAGCAGTAATTATATTCTCTATATTTTCAGATGAAAGAAAGTTCGGAAAGTTCGGGACGTCGTGGGGAGGGTGTTCAACGCCCAGGACTGCCAGGGAGCCGTTATAACCCTTGATGGAAGAGGTTCAGCCTTGCTGCAGAACTCTGCTGGTGACTGGATTGTTGTCGACAGCCATGCCAAGGATGTTTTAGGCGCCACTGACGTTGATGGAAAGTCACGTCTTCTGAGGTTTCCCCCCTGAGTCACGTGTTGGCCTATGACAGTGACAGTAAGACCTACACAGTACTCGCTGACAGGGTCCAAGGCCTAACCTTTTGAGCAGTCGTTCTGTAAGTCAAGAGGTGGCCTGTTACAGTGACATGGCAGTTAGACCAACCCAGTACTCGCTGACAGGGTCAAAGGCCTAATCTTAGGAGCTGTACACCGCCACTCCCATCTTCGTATGGGGCCAGTTCACCAGAGAGTAGACTTGTGACTTGGCTTTCCCACCAAAACACTCTGGTACACAGTGCAAATCTCGAAGGCATCCACTCCGTTTGTGACTTTGCTTTGCCATCAAAACACTTCAGCGCACAGTGCACCTGGGTGATATTCATCGCCATTGTTGCCAGTGCAGTCGTTCCTGTCCGTCCTCGTGACGTGACATGGGGGACCGTCTTCATGGTGCCATCCTCTGCTGGATGGTAAGCGGCTTGCTTCAACAACCATCTGGCAGCAGATGGCCTGTGACAATGGTGCAGCCGAGTCTGCCAGAAGCAGGGACTTCTGTACTCGGCAGAAGGCACTCGAACAAACATCTGGGAGCAGTCGAGTTCGACTGTCTGGTGCAGCCGTGTCTGTGAGATGCAGGGACTTCTGTAGCCTGGCAGCATGGACTGGAACAAACATCTGGGAGCAGTGGAGGTAGACTGTCTGCTGCAGCAGGGACATCAGCCATATGTAGTGTGTCTTCTCTCTCTTTTTTCATGGCATCAGAGAGCCGTCCTGAAAACAGTAAGGACATATTATTGACTTCCACTATTCAAACAAGATCATTGTAAAAGCGAAAAACTACCACAAATACATGTATTTCTAATTATTCAGTTCATCAAAACAAAAATGTTAGAAATCGCTGCCCCTCCGTCATATTAAGCCTATCAATAACCTAAATTTGAACTTCAGTTTTTACACAGCTCTTATTTGTAAGGACTGTTGTCAGGCGTATAACCGGTTATTTAGGTCCGTGATCTAACACGGCCTTGATGTAACAAATTATGTTCCATGTCATCTGCTACGTAATCATGCTGGCGGCATATACAGCCCTCCCTGGTTATAATGCCACTTGTCGTCCAGCGGAAAATATGGCATTATAACGAGGGACGTGAAAAACAGACCTTACTGACATGATATATAGAAAAGGGAAATGCCAATATATTTAATCTTATAGAAAAGGATATGATTAACATAAAACTAATTGAAGGTTATTTTAAGAAAGTGATTGATTCTCTGTGCAAGGATTAGCTGTGAAAACAACTGAGATCAATCCTATGAGTTTGTTGATTTAGAAGAGGGAATCGTCTCCAAAGATTAACCACTTCGCAAATCCGTTGTCAAAATTTAAAAAAATATGTCACAACCAGGGAATTGGAATGTTTGTTCTGATAAACACTATCACTAGCCTTATAAACAGTGTGGCATAATAACCAGAGAATCTGGACTGCAGAAATTCCTTCTGAGAAAAACATGGCATTATATCCAGGAGGAACTGTATATGGTTAGGAACTGAAGCGGCCTGAGTCTTTGGTGAATATAAATTTATACTATGGAACTTCTGGACAATTGAATGGGAGAGATATGCATTGTCAGTTTGTTCAATTTTATCTTTTGGTTTAACGTGAAATGTGTTGTAGAAATGTTGTCGATTTATGTTGAATGTTTATCTACTTGATATTTTTAAAGACACCTTTAATTACAGTATTTATATGAGACATTTCGCGACAATAATAAGGGAGGCGTTTTTTTCATACAGCCACTTCGCGCAAGACATTTTACGTATGCTTTAGTGACTATTGAAGAAATAATGGATAATAAAACGTTGCTGAAATGTTGTACAACGATGAACCGATGAACCGTATGTGATAAAAAATAAGTGCGTATGTTGCGCGTGTTGGTATACTGACCTGTGATTATATTTCTTAATGTTGACAATTATTGTTTTAAGGTGTACCTTAGCCTTACATGATGGCAATCAACAGTGTGAATATAAACTGAAGGTCAAAAGTAAGTATGCCGAGTTGTTGTTTTTATGTTATTGAAAATTTAAAGAACTGTTATTAAATTAAATTATGTCTATTTAACCATCATTCATTCCTGTAACAGTTTGTAAAAAGTAGTCTGTGACTGGGTAATTGTTTTGTAAATATATATATATATATATATATATATATATATATATATTGGTTCAATGAAGACTGGGGTGAGAAATGAATTTGCAACCACATGACCCCTACCGAGCTAGAAAGGTTAGGGAGCGACCATTTGATTTCTAGGGGGGGGGGGGGGGGGGCGGAAGTATTTACAAATGAATAGTTTGTTGGAGATAATCAGTAAAATAAATAGAATGTTTACTACTGTGAGAAAAATGAATAGTTTGTTTCAAGATATAGTTTTGCATGTCATTGCAACATTTATCTATTAAATTAAAGAATTATTCCAGCATTATAAACGTAAAAATTTTCCGCCGCCTTCGGCGCAACATCACTATTACTTTAATCCTATTTGTTGCTATTTTGTATATGAAGTTAATGGCTTCAGTTCAGCACATTTTGCTATTTAAATGCATGTACAAAAATTCAGGCGTCCAATTTAACAATTTCCAAAAAGAAATAACCAAGCTACAATGTTGTAAAAGAACACATTTATTCACTGATAAATGTTGAACATATTTATATTGTGGTTTGTTTGAGGAATGGTTTGAAATACAAATAAACCATATGTATTAAATGAAAAGGTATCGGTATGAACAATTTTCACCAAAATCCTTCAAATAAAACTATATTATATGATCTTTGGATATGACCTCTTTAATAAAATTGCAAAATTACCATCTGAAATGAATAGTTTGTTCAGCTGTATGTTACAAAAAAATAGTTTGTTAGAAATGGCTTCAGAAAAAAATAGTTTGCTGAGAAAACAACTTCCGCCCCCCTCCCCCCCCCATAGAAATCAAATGGTCGCTCCCTTACATTTACAGCTCGATTTATGAAATTGAAGTATCTGACAAAACGAAACATGAAAACATAACATTTATTTCAGACTGGCACCTGATGGCAAAGTTTTATCGAGGCTAAAACTAAAGATTCAAAGAAAAGGTCATCACAATGTGAAGAATATCACAAAAATACACAGAAAAACATTCGTGCTGCCATTAATCGTCATATATCTGATATGTGGACAGATAGACATTGTTTATAACAAGTTGAAAAAAGCAAATCCGATCTTAGATGGTTTGCTGAAGCAAAGGATGCAGAGTGATGTCTCGCGATCAACTCGGCACAAAGTGGTTAAGGAAATGGCTGATCTACCAAGAAATTGCCGTTTATTTCAGTCATGCCGAAAGTTCACCTATCAAAGTCCGTCAGGCTGTTTGGTACAATATTGTGAACATTTACATTTTGTGTCTTGGGGGTTCAGAGTTCCACCATCAGCCTACAATGTCATCATTTGAATTTAAAAGTGACGAAAACGGCGTTGAATATACTTGCTTACACACGAAACACAGCAAAATACATTTAGAGGCAATGGCATGATGTATATTGCTTCGGGTAATCCCCGTCATCAGCAGCCGTAGTATGACTCAAAACACACACCCAAAGTTCACAGAACGTTAATATCAACCCATTTTCAGAATCAGCCGGGTCTAGATTTCTTTCCAACTCTAACTTTACTGGCAAATCTTATATTTCAAGTGAATGACATTGCCGTAGCCGCCATTTTCTGTCGTTTGTAAAACTAAGGGATGTCACTCCACATGAAGGATGTTTGGGGCGGGTGACGTCACGACTCTCCGCGTTGATAACGTTCGCTTTGAATAATGAAAGTTTGATGTTTAATGGATTGTTTTGTTATGATTTAGAGTCTATGTATCTGTATATATAAGGATTGAATTCGCGCATCATGGAATTTGCTCACGTGAGCCACTGTCTTCATCAGCTGATGAACGTCAACAAATACAACTTTACTTTTTGTTCAATCAAACATACGGTAAAATCAACTGAGAGGTGAGCACCCCCAGAATACAGCGTCACACTTTCTCGTGGTAACGATCTCTGCGGGTGGTAGGTCACTGTGACAAGCAGCCAGTTTTGTGAGAATGAGTTTTACTGAATTCTAAAGGCCAAATGCGCCCCTTTACCCTTAGCTAGGTTCCATTGACGTAGCCTAGCTTGGGTGGCATTACCACAGGAATGTGGGGTACACATGCATGCCACTAATAATGTAATGAATTGTGTATCTACTGTGGTAATTAAAGATTTCACAAAAGCATTTAATTCAAGCTTGAGTGGGGGACAAGCCCCCCAACCCCTCTGTTGTTTTAGCGAGGCGACAGAAATGGCGCCTGAAAAACATAGAAACAGTTACTAAGGAATGAGCTCGTGCACATCCTTACCAAAATAGCGGAAGGTGTCCGGTACTGTTCTTACTGTTTTGACTGACAAGTTTGTGATTTCTGCTTCATCTTACCAAGGGACAGTTTGAGAAGACTGAAACAGTTTTAACTAGATCATGATCCAAGTTGTGATGTTCAATTTCTAGACATGACTGATGTTTGCTAAACAGATTCTACATTCTGTAAAAACGAGAATTTTGAGAGCGAGCGACAGCGTTTCTTTTGACATTTTACCCACAAAGGCAAATTTCAAAGTAAAACTCAATGAACATACGAAAACTAATTTCACGGAATATTTACATATTCTGTGGCCATATTGGCCCATGCTATGCACTCACGCTGCTGACGTTGCTTGTAGTTTGTTACTTAGCGTTCTCTTGTGCACGCCAGACGCCCGCCAAATGACCACCAGACGACATCTTTAGTGAAGGGGAGATAACTACGAAACGTGCCGCTTATTGCAACCGTTGCTCGAATGTGCGCATGCGTCGTATATCTCGAAAGAAAATCATTTCGGATCTAAGCTTGTGTTCAAATATATATATGCTTGTTGAAAACATCTACAATCAGCCCTTTTGACAATTTGAGCATCTACTCTACATTTTTGTTTTTTAGTGTTGAAAACAAGTCCAGTTGTCATTCATTTGAACACATTTGATATATTTCATAACTATTTCGAGATCTACAGTAAAGGCTAATTAAACATTTTGCTCATTTTCTTATATTTGGCCGATCTTTGATCATAAAACATTCCAGTTACTTAAGTGTTCCGTTTTCGTCATCGTAGGAGGCCTGGTTATCACATATATGAGAAAATGATCTTCGAAATATATAACCTGGACCGAGAAAATGAGAAACAACGTAGCTGCATCATATTTTGGCATCAGTATTAAGTTTATTATGACCATGAAAGATGTCACCCCTTGTTCTACACTACACAACACTACACTACACTACACTACACTACACTACACTACACTGTTCAGTAGGTTGGTATGAGAGGCGGTCTTAATAGGTGGAGTGAGTGAGTTGGATTTAACGCCGCTTTTAACAGTATTCCAGTTACCGTTTTCGACGTAATAAGCGCTCCGCTCTAATAAGCCCGAAGTTATGCAGGTCTCAGACGTTTACCACTTCGGTGAAACCCACGAGCACGGGTATGGTGCTGACAAACCTAGAAACAATCGGGGCGAACCGGGATTCGAACTCACAATCTGACGTGCCCAAGGGACGCAACTCTGCACAGCGTATCGCGGCGCCTTAGACGACTGGGCCACCCGTGCCTCCCTAATAGGTGGAAAGTGAAGGTGAAGTAAAGAGCTGAAGATTACCCAAACAGTAAGAAACCTTTCAAGTTTGAAAGTCACTATAGCTTGATATTAATTGTGCAAAATCATACCCAAACAATGCAGAAATAATTGAAAGCTATACTCTTGAAACAAAATCAACTCGGTTTTAACTTGATCCCAGTAGAAGGTATAACATAGTTGATCTTACTTTTCTTAGAGAAATACTGAAAGGTGTGACACAAGACATAACCTCTGCCTTCAATTGCAGCTTGGCCAGGAGAATACTAGAACTGATTATACAAAAAAACATTGTATGAAAAATATTGAACCGTTTGTGAGTTGGGTTCTGGAATTGAATCCTATTACATGTGAACCAAGTCAAATGATTGTCTCATTGTCCTCGCTGGAAGATTGTCATTTAACACTTTACAGGTGTTTGTATGCAACGTTTCACCTTATGCCACGAAGGAGGCGCTCGACCCTGCCTTTTTCAACCTGCCATGAAAATAATATATTATATAGAATAAACGCATGTGCAACCCAGGCGACCATGAGACTTCGAGGAGGGACATTCACATTTGATACGATATTGGAAAAAACCCAACTTGACACAAAAGAATTTCCAGCCCAGTTAAGCACCTTCTGAAAAAAAACAGTCACACGGCTTATTCGTAGACTTATTATGTTGAGTCTGCACTGAGTCCGTATGGTGCCTTTATAAAATACAGGAAAACCTTAATGCCATACATCAACCCGGTGCCAAAACGCTCTGTCTGCACCATGTTAGGTCAGCTGGGTGAGTGAAATAAATATTAAAGTGTTGCATCACATCACATCATTTACATGATACCAATGCATAATATATTCACTGTGAATCACACTGTTGTTTGGTACATAAAATCACAGATGAAACAAACACACACACACACAAACACGGTTGAAATTTGAGCCAAGTTAACAACATTTCTTCAATAGTCACTGAAGCGTACGTAATATTTCTTGCAAGAAGTGGCTTGATGGAAATAATGTCGCCCTCATAAATGTCGCAAAATGTCTCGCATACATGCTGGAATTCGATGTGTCTTTAAATGTATACATGATATGTTTCGTAAATAGACTCCCATAGTATAAAGTTATAATCGCCAAAGACTAGCCGCTTCAGCCTCTAACCATATGCCGCCAGCTTCAATATGTAGCAGATGCCATCGAGCGAAGTTTGTCACATCATCGTCACGTTAGATAATACATTTTATTCGAATAACCGACACACCTGACAAGTTTTCACAAATAAGAGCTCTGTAAAAATTGAAATTCAGATGAAGATTATATATATAGGCTGAAATATGACGCACATGCAGCACGTTCTAATATTTCTGATCATTAGAAATATATTGGCAACATGCTGTCGTGCCAAGTTAAAACGTGTATCTTTTGATGACCTTTGGTTATATTTAAAGGCAAAATGATGATGTTTGAATTATGAAAGTCGATATATATATATCCTTCATGAAATAAGGGAGAGACGATCGAAACACTACAAATGGCTGAAGCCCCTGAATCTCACAGACTCGGCTGCACCAGACATTGTAGCAAGCCATGTGCTGTTGCTGGGTTGTTAGGCAAGCTGCTTCCCATCATGAAGACATGAAGATAAGATATCTTGTGACACCTTTATAGTTAAACTAAAAACTGTTCCCATATGCTGCTATATATTGTAAATCATTCACATCATATATATTTTCTTCTTCTATTTCATGAGAGGGCATGGGTAGCCCAGTCGTCTAAGACGCCGCAATTCGCTGAGCAAATTAGCGTCCCTTTGGCACTCCAGCGTTGCAGGACTCAGACGTTTACCACTTTGATGAAATCCACGAGTATGGAGCTGACAAACCAAGAAACATCATCGGGGCGAACCGAGATTTGAACCCACGATCATAGGTTTCTAGCGTGCCCAATGGACACAACTCTGCACAGCGATTTTTTTTTTTTAACTCCGCACTTATAACCAATAATCGACAAGACAACTGGATTCGAACAACACACCTACAAAATCGATTCCAGCCAGCAACAGTGACTGCAAGAAGCATCCCTGGCCTTCGACGAATATCTTCACAATCCGTACATCGCCGCCTCAGATGTACAGGGATTGTCGCCAGAAGACCCATTAGACGTCCCACCGTCAAGCACGTCTACAGTGGTGCAGACAGCATCTACGCTGGACGGCCATGCAGTGGGGACAAGATCTATTCACTGACGAGTCTCGTTTTCACCTCAGCCACAGCGATGGACGGATTCGAGTGTACCGACGTCGAGGTGAACGTTACGTCAATCATTGTGTCATGGAAGAAGATCGGTTCGGGAGAGGCAGCGTTATGGTATGGGTTGGCATTACAGCAAGACAGAGGCCCCGTTTGATAGTGGTAGAGGGAAATCTCAATGGACAGCGCTACCGCGACGAGATCATCGGCCCTGTTGTTCTACCGTTTTTGCGTCGTCATGGCCCAGGCATTACCTTTCAACATGACAACGCCCGGCCTCTTATCGCTCGACTTGTTCAGGATTCTACCGTTTTTGCGTCGTCATGGCCCAGGCATTACCTTTCAACATGACTAGGCCCGGCCTCTTATTGCTCGACTTGTTCAGGATTCTCTTCAACAAAACAACGTGAATGTCATCCCCTGGCCGGCTCGCTCCCCTGATCTCTCACCAACCGAGCACATGTGGGATGAGATCGATCGGTGCCTTCGACGTCAACCACGTGATCCATAGACACTCCAGGAACTTCGAAACATGCTCCAGCATATATGGACAGATATCCCACAGGACTTTGTGCCAGGACTGGACGCCAGGTCCATTCCATGAGACGAAGATGTGTTGCTTGCATCGCAACCAGAGGTGGACACACACGCTATTGATTTGTAAATTGACATTTAGGCATGTTCATGTTTTTTATGAAATCACGAATTTTCTGAAGTCAGTATGGCAAATTAAACAATTTGAACACTTACAGGAGTCTTTTATCTGTTGCAAACCGAAATTGTTTCAGATTTTGTAAAAAACATAACTTTCATTAAATCTTATTCAATGTCACAGGAACTTTTGTTGTTCAGTATATTATGAGCTGGTGTTTTTATGATTTATGTCCAGTTGAGACGCATCACTTAGACGAAGCAGATTGTTTTTCCAGAAAGAATATTTTTCAATATTATGGTGTAAACTCGGAGCTACTTTAACTCCATATAGTTTCTATAGTCACGGTGACTTTTACTGAATGTGAGCACATCCTTCTACAATTGTACTTATGCCTAGACCACCAAGGTGCCTGGACACGGGTTACACATTGCAACTGTCCGTGGTCATATGGGCTCCATTCTAAGACTTTCTCTGTGAAGAATGTGGTCAGTAGATATAGGGGTGTATTTTGCTGGTCCGAATGTTCCGAGAAGTTGGGAAAGTATAACCTTCCGCATTCATGGTGAAGTGTAAGAATGAGTTGCGGGTGCTGTCCACACCCAATGATATCCCAGTTACCGTAGAAAGGCAGTTGTAGTGTCAGCTGAGCTCGTCTGGAAGTCTGATCTCTAGAGCACATTTACTGATAGATATTAAAAAGCTCTCTGCTTCAGGTTCAAATGAAGAGATACGCTGTCTCCGTTTGACCATTAATCTAGCACAATAGTCTGTACAAAGATTTGGAGCTATGGACCTCTGTGGTGTGTACCCGTTCCGGCAAGTAACTTTTGTAGAGGTTTATAACAATTTGCGTATCACTACAAAGGATCATTGTGAAAATAAAATACAAGACTCTATAGTCTATATTGAAATGTATCACCTCCACTAACGATGATTTAGTCTTTTAATGTTTTAGATCCAGATCAGACGTGCCAAATCCTATTTAAATGAGTTGGTCTTTCAGTGTTTCAGATCAATTTGAGAAGCGCCACTTCCTGGTATAATGAGTTGGTCTCTATGTTACAGCTCCGATTGTGACACGCCACTTCATGTAATGACTTGTTCTCTAGTTTTTCAGCTGCAGTTGTGATGCACCACTTCATAACACCCATCAAGATCCGGGGTAGAAAAGGTCTTCAGCAACCTATACTTGCCACAAAAGGCGACTATGCTTGTCGTAACAAGCGATTTACAGGATCGAGTGGTTAGGCTGCTAACTTGGTTGATGAATGTCATCGATCCCAATTGCGTGAATCGATGGTCATGATGTCAATCACTGGATTGTCTGGTCCAGACTCAATTATTTACAGACCACTGTCATATAGCTGGAATATTGCCGAGTGAGGCGTTAAACAACAAACAAACAAACAAACACTTCATATAATGTGTTGATCTCCAATGTTACAGCTCCGATTGTGAAAGGCCACTTCATATTATGAGTTGTTCTCTTTTGTTTCAGCTCCAGTTGCGATGCACCACTTCATATAATGAGTTGGTCTCTAATGTTTCAGCTGCAGTTGTTACGCACCACTTCATAAAATGAGTTGGTCTCTAATGTTTCAGCTCCAGTTGTGACGTGCCACTTCATATGATAAGTTGGTCTCCAATGTTTCAGCTGCAGTTGTTACGCAACACTTCATATAATTAGTTGGTCTCATATGTTTCAGATCCACTTGTGACGCACCACTTCCTACTAGTATGAGCTGGTGTTTTTTTATGAATTATGTCCAGTTGAGACGCATCACTTAGACGAAGCTAATTATTTTTCCAGAAAGAATCATTTTTTCAATATTATGGTGTAAACTCGGTGCTACTTCAACTTCATATAGTTTCTATAGTCACGGTGACATTTACTGAATGTGAGCACATCCTTCTACAATTGTACGTTATACCTAGACGACCAAGGTGCCTGGACATGGGTTACACATTGCAACTGTCGGTGGTCATGCTATGCTGGACTTTCTCTTTGAAGAATGTGGTCAGTAGATATAGGGGTGTATTTTGCTGGTCCGAATGTTCCGAGTAGTTGGGAAAGTATAACCTTCCGCATTCATGGTGAAGTGTAAGAATGAGTTGCGGGTGCTGTCCACACCCAATGATACCCCAGTTACCGTAGAAAGGCAGTTGTAGTGTCAGCTGATGTCGTCTGGAAGTCTGACCTCTGGAGCATATTTACTGATAGATATTAAAAAGCTCTAAGCTTCAGGTTCAAATGAAGAGATACGCTGTCTCCGTTTGACCATTAATTTAGCACAACAGTCAGTGCAAAGATTTTGAGTTATGGACCTCTGTGGTGTGTACCCGTTCCGGCAAGTAACTTTTGTAGAGGTTTATAACAATTTGCGTATCACTACCAAAGGATCATTGTGAAAATAAAAAACAAGACTCTATAGTCTATATTGAAATGTACTTCAGGCTTTCCTCCCACATAAGCTGACATGCTGTGGTATAACCGGAATACTGTTAAAACCAGCTTTAAATCAACCCACTCACTCAATCGGTTTTCAGAATTTCAACCAATAATTATTATTGTTAAACTACTTACCTGAAGTAAAAACAAATCATACTTTGACAATCACGTCATTACAAATTGATTGGTCTATTAAAAGCAAATATATTACCACCCAATACCACCCATGTCACCTGCAAAAAATACAGAGAAACCACAAGGCATCCCATTCTCAAATAAGTCAACATAGATATACCCCATTTTCCCAATTGCTAAGTGTAACATTCCAGCTAAAAAAAAAAAGGAACAGATTGACCATGGATATGTTATTTTAATTGTTCATAGTTCTTTCCAAAAAATAATTTCTTATCTAGCACTGGTCGCGCTGGTCTGATTCGTAAGTTCTGAAGACTAAGTGCAGTAATAAAAAAAAATGAGAAAACTTTCAAAGAAATACAAATGTGACTAACGGTATTCTGCCGACTGTGGAGTCTGGCTGCTGCTTGTAGGCTCTTCGTCTACTGAAACTGACTTCACCTTGCTTTGGACAGTCTCTGGCATTGATCCTAGCTCGGACTAGGAAGTAGTGAGTGAGTATGGTTTTATGCCACTTTTAGCAATATTCACGCAATATCATGGCGGGGGGCACCAGAAATGGCTTCACACATTCTACCCATGAAGGGAATCGAACCCGGGTCTTCGGCGTGACGAGCGAACGCTTTAACCACTTGGCTACCCGACCGCCCGACTCGGAAGTGACAAGAGGTCAGTGTTAGATTGCTCATTATGTTGGGTAAACCTTGTCAGAACATCCCTGTACAATCACAGATGTGCCTTGGCCCATTTCCTCCATTAGGATTTGGCTTGACGTGTGCTCTGACACCTCATATGAAGATAAAACCTCCATACTGATATATCGATGGTATATCTCTGGGACCATGCTTCTTATTGGTCCCACAGGAGAGGTCGTGTCCCCTATAAAATACAAGACAATTGGGAGATAAGAGAACATAAAACAATGTCCTACAGAAAGTTGATAAGTATTAAGTGTCCTAATGCCATTGTCACCGGCCAAATAATTAAAATGTAAACAAAAGTAGAACACATATCTTTCTCAATTAAGTCATATATTACTGAAAAGAAGTAAAAGAACACCTGATTCTTTCATTTACCATGATCAATCTATAATTAGACTCACTGTAGTAATGGTAAAAAATCAATGTCCTCTCATTTCTTTTGAGTATTATAGAGAACCCCCAAATTACTGTTGCTTGATATAGTTACTCAGTAATGAGTATTTTAGAACATGCTTCAATTTTCATAAAATATTAAAATAAGACAAACACTAATTATGGTTACAAAACTTGGACGTAAAATCATAATGTGACAATCACGTTGTTAATGATATTGATTGGTTTTAAGAAATGAAGTATATTACCATCCAATATTGCGAATGTCACCTGAAAACAATTGAGAGAAACCACAAAGCAACGCATTCTCAAATGAATATATGAACATGCATACAATCAAACTTGAACCTACACTTCACTGATGTATTTTCTCTGTTTAGTTAGGGCCGGTCATTTATTACAGGAGATGGGTGGCTCAGAGGTGTCTGATGCAGTAATGTACTGACACTTCCCTAAGGCTTGTCATATTCCCCTTCCCTCCCCATGTCCTTGTAGGTTTTTTTTCAGGACATTCCCTGAAAGAAAAATGCAAAAGCACTACAGTGTTTTTATTATGAATTGTCCAAATTTTTCATGACCCACTCTGAATGAATATGTGTATTATTTCTTAATGACTCTCACTTAGAAACGGTCACATTTTTGGGTGACCCACCCCTGATTCTCTACCCCACCTCCCTTAATAAATGGCAGGTCCCCTTGTAGATCTGATATGTACGTGACAGCCGGGTATATTAGCAAATATTTGAATCAGCTCGTGGAAATAACCCGGAATTACTCTGCTGTATCTGAGTCATTGCTTTATGCGAGTCATGACATGGGTGTCTCCACATACAACAGTGATTACCTTACTAACATAATCTTCATAGCGGATATTGCGTGCTATGTTGTGTTTATGTAAGGAGTAACATTTTCTTGTGAACACAAACAATCCAAAAAAGAATCATCACTAGTGTACCCCCTTCCCTGTATGGCTCAAGCTGTTTCACCACTAGATTGTACCGTCAAAACCAAAAGAAAATGTGCTTTTAATTCCTTACATGAACCACAGGACCATGTAACTAATAATACTAATAACAACAAGAAATGAGAGGGTTTTTGTTATTATTATTAGTTACATGGCCCTGTGCATAAACACAACATCGCACGTAATCTCCGCTATGAAGATTATGAGGTAACGGTGTTATAGTGCTTGACAGATTGAAATAGGAACCGTTTTGTCCGTGGAGGTTGAAATGGTAACTATTTGGCAACATAACCAACCTGATAACACTCTCTTGTTGACCAAGTTTAGAATTTCTTCTGCTGTCATACTTAAATTTCCCTTAGACGCCATTTTGGATCGAGAAAGAAGCGACCACAGCCAGCGATTGGCGCGATTGCAAGCGACCTTGCCTAGCGCTTTGTAACGCGACCTTGTACCTACACCACGTGAAACGGGTCTAATAAAGTCTTATGACGTCATTCCCTTAGCAATTGGCACCAATGACGTCATGTTGCAAGGGGCATAAGCCATGGTGTGTTTATTATGGCTGGTTGGTTTGTTGTTTAATATGACGTTTGTCTGTAAAAAATAAAGTCTGGACCAGACAATCCAGTGATTAATATCATGAGCATCGATCCACGCAATTGGGATCGATGACATGCATCAACCAAGTCAGCGAGCCTGACCACCCATCCTGTTAGTCGCCTTTTACGGCAAGCATGGGTTGCTGAAGACCTATTCTACCCCCGATATTCACGGGTCGTGTTTATTATGGAAATAGAACTCTCGGTAAATGTGAAAAATATGAACTGATTTAATGAATATAATAAATTAGATACTTGTGATATTTTTATTGTTTTGCCTCGGAAAATACTAGGTAAATACTTTTCATGATGAAAAAGTACAAGAAAAATAGGTTTATTTTTCGCGTCCAAGATTATTGCACTTATATAGCAATGTGCATGTGTGTGTGTGTGTGTGTGTGCGTGTGTGCGTGCGTGCGTGCGTGCGTGTGTGTGTGCTTGTACTAGTCCGTACTGATGCCGATTAATAGTGCTGGCCCACTGTGATACCATGCCGCAGTTTAACATGAATACCCCAGACCTTCTGCTCTCTGGGCGGACACTCTACCACTAGACCACGGAGGCGGTCCGCAACCATCAGTGTCTCAGTTGGATGCTTGTCATTATTTACAGACCACCTTCATATAGCTGGAATATTGCTGAGTGCGGCGTAAAACAACAAACCAACCAACCCACGATTCGGCCTAAAATCTGTAGATGTCATTAAAAATTTCCAAATTGAATTAAAAAATTCCCAATACTAAGACAGATAGACAGACAAATTTATTCAGGAATAAAGGCCATCGTACGACAATACAACAATACACATATTTAAATATCCTGCATACAAGGGTATCAATATTAAATAAGTGTTTTATCATTTCTCATTGTAAAGGTTTTAGTTAAGAATAGACCAATGTTAAATATAGTAAGTCTCTTAAGGATTCATAATGTGGATATATTTTTCAGTCGTTGGACAATCTGTATAATATGGATGTTTATGTTGCTTTCTTAGCTGGGAGTCATATAATATATTTAATTCAATGGATAGGTTTATTTTAATGGACAGGTTTAAATTATTGCATTGAATGCGATATCCAAACACAATGTAAAACTGTTCCAAAAAGTTCCAATTTTGAACAAATTAACAATTTGTTCCCTTAGTATAGAATCCTGGACAAATCCCGGCTAGAGGGATAGTGCTGTGATCCCTTTGTAAAACATCTGAGATCACTTGGCCGACAGTCTGGCTCTGTCAAATCAATCTTAGTGTCATGACTGTCAAACATAACTATTGCAGTGCTGTGATCCCTGTGTGAAACATCTGAGAACGCTAGGCTGACTGTCAAGGCTCTGTCAAATCAATCTTAGTGTCATGACTGTCAAACATAACTATTGCAGTGCTGTGATCCCTGTGTGAAACATCTGAGAACGCTAGGCTGACTATCAAGGCTCTGTCAAATCAGTCTTAGTGTCATGACTGTCAAACATAACTATTGCAGTGCTGTGATCCCTGTGTGAAACATCTGAGAACGCTAGGCTGACTGTCAAGGCTCTGTCAAATCAATCTTAGTGTCATGACTGTCAAACATAACTATTGCAGTGCTGTGATCCCTGTGTGAAACATCTGAGAACGCTAGGCTGACTATCAAGGCTCTGTCAAATCAGTCTTAGTGTCATGACTGTCAAACATAACTATTGCAGTGCTGTGATCGCATTGTGAAACATCTGAGAACGCTAGGCTGACTATCAAGGCTCTGTCAAATCAGTCTTAGTGTCATGACTGTCAAACATAACTATTGCAGCGCTGTGATCCCTGTGTGAAACATCTGAGAACGCTAGGCTGATAGTCTGGCTCTGTCATGGGGGGCTGTGAAGTCTGGATGGGGACAAACAGGAATAATGCCGAAGGGGTTGATAGTCTTGTGGCTTCCCTGAAAGCAGATATCAGACAAGGTGACTCTACTTGCTGTTACAAGTGACTCTACTTGCTGTTACAATTGACTCTACTTGCTGTTACAAGTGACTCTACTTGCTGTTACAGGTGACTCTACTTGCTGTTACAAGTGACTCTACTTGCTGTTATAAGTGACTCTACTTGCTGTTACAACTGACTCTACTTGCTGTTACAGGTGACTCTACTTGCTGTTACAAGTGACTCTACTTGCTGTTACAAGTGACTCTACTTGCAGTTACAACTGACTCTACTTGCTGTTACAAGTGACTCTACTTGCTGTTACAAGTGACTCTACTTGCAGTTACAACTGACTCTACTTGCTGTTACAGGCGACTCTACTTGCTGTTACAAGTGACTCTACTTGCTGTTACAGGCGACTCTACTTGCTGTTACAAGTGACTCTACTTGCTGTTACAATTGACTCTACTTGCTGTTACAAGTGACTCTACTTGCTGTTACAAGTGACTCTACTTGCAGTTACAACTGACTCTACTTGCTGTTACAGGCGACTCTACTTGCTGTTACAAGTGACTCTACTTGCTGTTACAGGCGACTCTACTTGCTGTTACAACTGACTCTACTTGCTGTTACAACTGACTCTACTTGCTGTTACAGGCGACTCTACTTGCTGTTACAGGCGACTCTACTTGCTGTTACAAGTGACTCTACTTGCTGTTACAGGCGACTCTACTTGCTGTTACAGGCAACTCTACTTGCTGTTACAAGTGACTCTACTTGCTGTTACAGGCGACTCTACGTGCTGTTACAGGCGACTCTACTTGCTGTTACAGGCAACTCTACTTGCTGTTACAAGTGACTCTACTTGCTGTTACAGGCGACTCTACTTGCTGTTACAGGATTCTACATGCTGTTACAAGTGACTCTACTTGCTGTTACAAGTGACTCTACTTGCTGTTACAGGCGACTCTACTTGCTGTTACAGGCGACTCTACTTGCTGTTACAAGTGACTCTACTTGCTGTTACAACTGACTCTACTTGCTGTTACAGGTGACTCTACTTGCTGTTACAAGTGACTCTACTTGCTGTTACAGGCGACTCTACTTGCTGTTACAGGCAACTCTACTTGCTGTTACAAGTGACTACTTGCTGTTACAGGCGACTCTACTTGCTGTTACAGGCGACTCTACTTGCTGTTACAAGTGACTCTACTTGCTGTTACAGGCGATTCTACTTGCTGTTACAGGCGACTCTACTTGCTGTTACAAGTGACTCTACTTGCTGTTACAGGCAACTCTACTTGCTGTTACAAGTGACTCTACTTGCTGTTACAGGCGACTCTACTTGCTGTTACAAGTGACTCTACTTGCTGTTACAGATGACTCTACTTGCTGTTACAGGCGACTCCACTTGCTGTTACAAGTGACTCTACTTGCTGTTACAGGCAACTCTACTTGCTGTTACAAGTGACTCTACTTGCTGTTACAAGTGACTCTACTTGCTGTTACAGGCGACTCTACTTGCTGTTACAGGCGACTCTACTTGCTGCTACAAGTGACTCTACTTGCTGTTACAGGCGACTCTACTTGCTGTTACAAGTGACTCTACTTGCTGTTACAAGTGACTCTACTTGCTGTTACAGGCGACTCTACTTGCTGTTACAAGTGACTCTACTTGCTGTTACAGGCGACTATGTTTGTCTCAGAGGTGACTAACGTGATCGGGTGGTCAGGCTCGCTGACTTGGTTGATGCATGTCATCGTATCCCAGTTGCTTAGATCGATGATCATGATGTCAATCACTGGATTGTCTGGTCCAGACTCGATTACTTACAGACGCAGTCATATAGCTAGAATATTACTGATTGCAGCGTTAAACAACAAACAACTTGCTGTTACTATGGTTACAAGACACCTCATTAACTCAAACTTCATTTAAGTGGGTTGTTTTCATGTCTTTGTGTCATGTCATGGTCTTCAACTGGGATATATCACAAATAATTTGGCACATCTTTTGCATTTCACAATGCTGATTGGTCAGTTGAAGTGATATGAGTCCACATGATTGATTCATTGTAGAGCACAATATATTATGTTATCTATTGTCCATGATGCCACAAGTAGATAACATTACCACACACGAGCAATAGGGTGACTCTGTAGGATTAACATTTTTCAGTTGTTAACTTTATGAAACTAATCCAAGAATATCTAACAGGTGAATTCTACAGTTGAACTCTGCAGGTGAGCTCTACATGTATCCCACAGGTGTATCCTTTGGGTATATTTTACAGCTGGGCTCTACAGGTATCCTATGGGTATATCTTACAGCTGTGCTCTACAGGTATCCTATGGGTTTATCTTACAGGTGTAATCTACAGGTATCCTATGGATATATCTTACAGGTGTAATCTACAGGTATCCTATGGGTATATCTACAGGTGTAATCTACAGGTATCATATTGGTATTTCTTACAGGTGTATTCTACAGGTATCCTATGGGTATATCTTACAGGTGTACTCTACAGGTATCCTATGGGTATATTTTACAGGTGTATTCTACAGGTATCCTATGGGTATATCTTACAGGTGTAATCTATAGGTATCCTATGGGTTTATCTTACAGGTGTACTCTACAGGTATCCTATGGATATATCTTACAGGTGTAATCTACAGGTATCCTATGGGTATATCTACAGGTGTAATCTACAGGTATCATATGGGTATTTCTTACAGGTGTATTCTACAGGTATCCTATGGGTATATCTTACAGGTGTACTCTACAGGTATCCTATGGGTATATTTTACAGGTGTATTCTACAGGTATCCTATGGGTATATTTTACAGGTGTATTCTACAGGTATCCTATGGGTATATTTTACAGGTGTAGTCTACAGGTATCCTATGGGTATATCTTACAGGTGTAATCTACAGGTGTACTCTACAGGTATCCTATGGATATATCTTACAGGTGTACTCTACAGGTATCCTATGGGTATATTTTACAGGTGTAGTCTACAGGTATCCAATGGGTATATTTTATAGGTGTAGTCTACAGGTATCCTATGGGTATATCTTACAGGTGTGCTCTACAGGTATCCTATGGGTATATCTTACAGGTGTAATCTACAGGTGTACTTTACAGGTATCCTATGGGTATATCTTACAGGTGTATTCTACAGGTATCCTATGGGTATATTTTACAGGTGTAGTCTACAGGTATCCTATGGGTATATTTTATAGGTGTATTCTACAGGTATCCTATGGGTATATCTTACAGGTGTAATCTACAGGTGTACTCTACAGGTATCCTATGGGTATATCTTACAGGTGTACTCTACAGGTATCCTATGGGTATATTTTACAGGTGTAGTCTACAGGTATCCAATGGGTATATTTTATAGGTGTAGTCTACAGGTATCCTATGGGTATATCTTACAGGTGTAATCTACAGGTATCCTATGGGTATATCTACAGGTGTAATCTACAGGTATCATATTGGTATTTCTTACAGGTGTATTCTACAGGTATCCTATGGGTATATTTTACAGGTGTAGTCTACAGGTATCCTATGGGTATATTTTATAGATGTAGTCTACAGGTATGCTATGCGTATATCTTACAGGTGGACTCTACAGGTGTACTCACATAGTAGTGTTTGATGATGTGCTCCATGTCGACGGTGGCCGACACCCCAGGGAGCTGATACATGTCTCGGGTGTATCCCCACAGGTTGGGGTAGTTCAGAATCTGACGTTGGTTACACTGAAACAAAGTCACAGGTCTTGCTTTTAATTACATGGTTTACAGATCTGCATCTATAAGGAGTAAAATATAAAAACAATAGAATTTCTTCTCATTTCAACTTTTTGTAAGATAAACTTAGAAGGCAGCATTAGAAACTGGCACTAGTCTATAGACCTTGCCAAACTGCTAAATAGTTAAGGTACCGGTATCCTAACGGCTAGCAGAAATTTTCCCTTTTAAACGGTGTTGCTGTGTTATTATCAGGACTAGTTTCTACCGCTGTAAGGCATCACTGTTCTTAAAACATTATTCTACCATAACACCCCCTTGAAATCTGAAAACTACTGAGATTGATAGCGTAATGTTCAGGTTATAACATGTATTTACATTTTTTTCAGTATTGTTAGGTCCTTTGGTATACAGATGTACACTCATTACATCCCAGGTCTGCATCCAAGGAGAGGATCAGAGATGAGTATCTAAGGCCTGTCAGAATCCAGTGAACACAGGTGTGACTCCCAGCCTTGCCTGACTGTTACTCTCGTTTTGTCAGCACCACATCCTATGCTTGTGGATTTAACCAACGTTATGAATGCCACCACTGGCTTTCCTCCCACATGATACTGACATGATGAGATCTTACTGAATAATGTATGAAGCAGGTTTAGACAAACTAATACTCACTCACCATGCAGCTAAATGTTTACCTTGAAATGTGTGTGGTAGACGTTGTCGAACCTGACAAGGGTTGTGAAGAGCCTGATGTCTGCCTCTGTGACCCGACTCCCTGTCAAGTAGCGCTGTTTACTGAGGATCTCTTCAACCTGACACACAAAGTACATCCATCTTAGAGAGTCAGTCTAAAATCAGCACAGGGCCACCACAGCCACGGGGGATCAAGTCCCTGGAAGCCAGTGCTTGCAGTGTGTGACACTACCCAGTGCTTGCAGTGTGTGAGACTACCCAGTGCTTGCTGTGTGTGACACTACCCAGTGCTTGCAGTGTGTGACACTACCCAGTGCTTGCAGTGTGTGACACTACCCAGTGCTTGCAGTGTGTTACACTACCCAGTGCTTGCAGTGTGTGTGACTATCCAGTGCTTGCAGTGTGTGACACTATCCAGTGCTTGCAGTGTGTTACACCACGGACTTGTATAACCTACCCAGTGCTTGCAGTGTGACACTACCCAGTGCTTGCAGTGTGTGACACTTACCCAGTGCTTGCAGTGTGTGAGACTATCCAGTGCTTGCAGTGTGTGACACTACCCAGTGCTTGCAGTGTGTGACACTACCCAGTGCTTGCAGTGTGTGACACGACCCAGTGTTCGCAGTGTGTGAGACTATCCAGTGCTTACAGTGTGTGACACTATCCAGTGCTTGCAGTGTGTGACGCTATCCAGTGCTTGCAGGTGATAGAATTAGACAAACACCTAGTATCTGAAATGAACATATTTTACAGAACAGTTATATAAATATAAGAAAAGGGAGCCAAGAGACTTTCTTCATTTCCAGAAACTGCAGTAATATAGACTTGCCAAATATCATATGCTTGCATGTGCTGTATTGGATATATTTGTTTCAGGGTCTGTATGACAGATTACATTTGAATCTTATTTCTGTCTAAACAATCTGATATGGCCTTGATGTTTAAGAGCGAGCTGTTCATGTATAGTGATGTAAGGGAGATAACTCTCATTACGGAAGTTCAGGGTGTTGTTATGATAGCGAGTGAATTGTATGGGTAAAGTTGACAGTTGTAAGTATAGAATGTCACCTTGAGTGTTTTGTGTGTTGTCATAGTGTTTTGGAATGATTGTGTGTGTTGAGATGATCGTTTTGTAAGTTGGATAATGAAAGTCTGACGAATAACAACGTTTGACCGGAAGCAACGAGGTCTGCTTTTAGCTTTTAGAAAATGGTAAGACCTCATCCTTAAAACTACTTGGTTTAACAACTTATAACAAAAACTGTTGGGTCAGTTGTCAAAATATGAAAAACATGTTAATAAGTACATCTTGTTTTTAATTGATTTCTAAAGTGATGTTGCTCAGGAGAAAAAACACAAATAAATGCAGCAGATTTTTAATGACTTATCAATGGGTTACCTTCCCACATTGACCTGCTTGAAATGTCTTTCAACAAACCTGACAGGAAGATAAAAAGATGGTTCTCAATGTCTTTACTTTCATTCCACATTTGTGAAATTTTCCGTTAGCAGCATTATGAAAGTAAGATCAAAATTAATTTCAGATTTACTTATGTTTATCCCTAAAATAACCTATATTAAGAACGAGAATCAATAAAATAAAGAAAAACAACAACATTTCATACGAAAATATAAAAAATTATTACTGCAATGTGAATATTAACATTTTCCAGCGTAACAATTCGGGTGGTAACAAAAAATGCTATCCTTTGGCTTCAGGTAAACTGTTTCCTGGAGGAAACAGGAGAGAACAAATAATGACAGTAAAAATGTAAATTTTGAAATGAAAGGTTCCTAGACAATTTTATATTTTTGTTTTTTAAATGGCTAAAAAGAGATGGCCTGATCTGTAAAACATGCTCACAATATAACATACAGATAAAGCTGGTCTGTAAATAATCAAATCTGGTTAAAACAACTTTGTGACTGATATTATGAGCAACGATACACTCAATCAAGGTAAATTACTGACGACACACAATAAACCAAGTCACAGAGCCTGACCACCCCATCCAATAGTTGCCTTGTACACAGACATGAGTGGTTGGGGACTGTTTCTCACTGGGACTCCCGAACGAGGGAGTAAAACAAGCAATTACACAGATATGGCCTGACAAAGAAAGTGTTGCTCAATCTTACACGGTCAAGTCCCTGGAACAGTTCAGTGATAGCGCTGTCGTACGCCTCCTGGCTCCGTGCAAACCCACAGCGGTAGACTCCATTGTTGATCTGGCTGCAACATGAAACAGTCAAAAGGTCATAATGTCGCCATGGTTTCTTTATCATTGAACCTCTCCTAATAACGACTAGGGTCATGATCATGCTCATACATAGCTCATGACTAGTTATATGATTGGTTAAGATTGGTGAAATAAACTATATGATTGGTTAAGAAGCTAGTAAGGTGCTAATCTCCGTTTACCCACGATGAGCACCCACAGACACTGTAGGTTTAATGGCCTGCCTGTACACCTCAAAAAGTGGGAAACTAAAACTAAACAATAACCATGTCTTTTCTTTTTTAAAAATGGTTTTAATATTTATAAAACAGTAATTCCACTCTGCTGTAAAGTTTATCTACGCCCACAATATGTCTTCAAAACATCACATCCCAAGTGTCATCATAGCTTCTTTGATAGGCATTTAGAAGTTGGAGTACTAAGTACTGTCATTATGGCTGTTTCCATGATTTTCATATTATCATAATCATCCTGGAATGACCGATATAATCCTCACTAATTTATCGGGACATCATCATAATGTGTCTCCATTGTCATCATCATAGCTTAAGATTGTAACTCACTTTTAACTCACTCACTCACACAAAGTCTTCAGCATTATCAATATGGCAGCACCCCCATTGTATATACCGTATTCGACGCAATAAGAACCCAGGGCGCTCTCAAAATTAGAAATAGGGGGCTCTTATTAGAGTAAAATTTTGGTGAAAACAAACAGTGTTGAAAGATCTTAAATTTCGTGGTTTATGCTGACAGCCTGAAATCATACCCAAAAAAAATCTGTGTGTATTATATACGACAGATATATTTTCCAGAATTTAATTGCCCATAATTAAGGGTGCATATAACACACGAGTCATATTATACACAAATAAATAAGTCTTGTGTACATTGATCAATTGGAAGGGGTGCTAATTGGGATTGTTCACAAGCCAATATATTAGCAAATATTGCCATGGGCGCATATTACGTCGAATACGGTAATACAACATCACCATGGTATAATATGAGTATATAATCAATATTATAATTGGATATCATAAAATCAATAACACCATGGTATAATGGTGTTATATAATGAACATCACCATGGTATAATACTTGTATATAATCACATCATCACCATGGTATAATCATATTACCCCAGTATCATCTTCACCATAGTAGGGGGTACGGGTGGCCCAGTCGTCTAAGGCGCCGCGATTCGCTGTGCAGAATTGCGTCCCTTGGGCGTGCCAGAAACCTATGATTGTGGGTTCGAATCCCGGTTCGCCCCGATTATGTTTCTAGGTTTGTCAGCACCATACCCGTGCTCGTGGGTTTCACCGAAGTGGTAAACGTCTGAGACCTGCATCACTTCGGGCTTTCCTCTCACATTAAGCTGACACGCCGCGATATAACTGGAATACTGTTAAAAGCGGCGTAAAACCCAACTCACTCACTCACTCACTCACCATAGTAACATCAACATTCTGGGGCATACCTGTCAACTCTCACGCAACTCGCGTGAGACTCACGCATTTATCACCTATGTCACGCTCACATGCAAGGTTGAGAAATTCTCACACATTCATATAAAATGTAGATAAAAATATTTTGAAACGCTTTTCTCTTTCGATTTATCACAGCGAGAAAAATCATTCAAAACCAGTTTTCGACCCCTCCACACACACCGGGGCACTTGCAGCCCCTGCATCCTGGCTTCTCACTCATTTAGACATCCAGGGGTTGGCAGTTATGCTGGGGTACTGTTTCATGATTATCATCACCATCAATAGCCAACATGAGAATATCAGGAACATCACTATTAACATATTATTGTGATTATTAACATCACCCAAGCAGAGATTTTGACAGAAATTCATAAATGAAGCGGATGTCCCCCCTTTCTGGATCTGAAACTATTGAACCAGTTGGGGAGTGTATTAAAGTTATAGCTTAAATCCTAGATGTGTGGCCAACACCATGTTTATCAGAAGGAAGAGTCCACTTTAATGAATAATTCATATCCTGGTAGGATAATGGCAGAGTGAGTGGACTGTTCCATCCTGTTGACAGCCTAAAGCTTGAGAACTAGGTGACTTCTTTCTGACAGGTCACTTCACCTACATCTGCATTCATACCTGACATCCCTTGGAGAATGGTTTCTCCCAACAATGGACCAATCCTTAAACACTTTGACCTTAAGACTTCTTCAAATTTCTGCTCCCTATCACTCATTATCACTGTCATTACTATGGTTACGTCAGTGAAATATTTGCATCTTTTGTTTTCTACTTAACTCATAGGAAAGTCAGTGATGATATGATTACTGGTAATATATACTGGTATGATTTCAATTTCCACCTTTTTAACCAGGATTTAGAGGTCCCTGGTAGCATATTTTCAATTTAAATATTCACATTATGGTTAGGTCCGTGTTTTACTAAATAGATTCTTTCAGTACACACTTTTATTTAAGATGTGAGATTCAATACCTATAATGTGGGGGTGATTTTGAACACAAATGAGCATCCACTGTAAGACATCCACTAAATGTTTGTACAGAAAGCTTGCTGTAAACCTCCCAGGCCTCTTGTACATGCGTGGAAAGTATACTGATATAAAAAACAAACATTGACAGCTATATATTGCATATTTAAAGGGAATTTTTCATGTTTCCTTAATTCAAATCAGGAACCTATAAAAAACAATGGACCAAGATTATTGCACTTACATAGCGTCGTAAATGCATGTGTGCTTGCGTGCGTGTGTGAGGCTGACGATTAACAGCGCTAGCCCACTGAGATACCATGCTGCAGTTTAACATGAATACCCCACTCAGAGTCATCTATATCCCCCGCCCATTTTAACACGTTATGGTCCCAAACCAGGTAACTGACCCAACATTTCTCTTAGCCCATGTCAAAATAGCTGCAATGGAAATTCTAAAATAAACATTTCTAAAACTCCTTAATATCAAAATGGCACCAGTTCAGTATGTGCTTTATATATAGACATGCAATGTTTTGCAAGGAAATATTTAACAGTTTATTTGTTATTCTCCATTAGTGAACCCACCCTATATTAAAACTTTAATCTAACTTGTTGCCATGGAAACATAAAAAATAAAAATATATAAAATTCCAAAATAGCAAAATGCACCTGTTCAGTATGTGCCTGGTAGACGTGCAAAATTTTGTAAGAAAGTATTTACCAGATTTTGAGTTACGCTCCGGAAATGAACACCACCCTTATAGAACCTAAGACAAAATTGTTGCCATGGAAACGTAAAAAAAAAAGAAGTTTCTGAAATTCCTATACAGCAAAAGGCACCAGTTCAGCCTGAGTCTGATAGACACGCAAATATCGTAGAGAAATAATTAACGGTTTCTGAGATATGCTCCGGGAACGATTTGGGCACGCATGCACGCACCCTGCCAACTTATTTGGGTCGGGGGATAACAAGCATGGATTGCTGAAGACCTATTCTAATCCGGATTTTCACGTGGACACAGTGTGTCATTTAGTTTTGACACTGAATGTTAACTTTTATCATGTTTAGGTTAGTTCAAATAATTATTTGTTTGTAACTTTTAGCTATCTAATCTGTTTTATATTGAAACCATATTTACCTTGCTGTGACTTTTTTTACTGATAAGACTTTGTTCTCATCAACATATTGTTGAATTAGGGCTGGTTCAATGTTAAATAGTACCTCAATTAAGGGACACAACTCAGCATAGCTAATTGCAAAATCTCAGACCATTTGGACACAGGTGCACCCAAGTTTGTTTGAGTAACCATGGTAACATGAGAGAAATGTTTCACTCACGGGTACACCCATTCATTGATGCCATCAATGACCGCCTGCAGGTCTGCTGGGTAGAAGTGCAGCTCACGCTGTTCCGATGTTTTACAGAATGCATTGAACTCCGTGTTTAGCATCCTGATAATCTCGCTGGACTCATTGTTGACGATTGTCTTCAATTGCTTGTCCCACAGAACAGGTACTGTGATGTTGCTTTTGTATTCTGAAACAATTAGGTTCAGTAATCATTCAGGACACATGCCACTTTCTCTGGTGACTTCTAGTTCTTTTCTTTCACTCCAAACAATACCCAATCACAAAAACAAATTGCAACTCAGAGAAGAACACATTGAAGGGAACTGGAGCTCATCTACTGAAACAATCACGGAAACCTAAGGAAAACAACTTATGGGCCTTATTCAGTTATTGTTTACAAATACCATCTTCCTGAGACAAGGAAGTTAACTGACTATAAAAGTCCAGTTTCCACCCTTGCCGAACTAGGCTGGAATTATGGAGTCATAATGAGTATATGCATAGTCCAATCAAAATCATGTAACAAAATCGACATCCGGTTTCTGCGGGATCGATTGCAGGATTTGCAAGACATGTGTACAGCTAACTCGTCAAAAGATATTTTCCAAAGCTTTTCAGGTTTCTAATCAAGGTGCATGCATGATTTGATGCACTTCGCAAAGTAAGACCAGTTTTATCATAATAAAGATCTTTATTAACAACCAGATCACCTTAACTGGGTGCCGCCATATTTTCTTAAAGGGGAAGTGTGCACGCAAAAATCACTTTCTTTCTTTTTCTAAACAAAACGCAATTTTAGAATTAATTAGTATCTGTGTTTGAAAATATACACTAATTTTTTTTCACAGTGAAAGTAGGAAGCTCACAATAGTGTTAAAATGATATGCCGTTATGAGGCCTTCGTTTGACGAGCGAAATAGGCCTGAGTTATCCCCCTTAGATTATGACGTAATTGGTGCCAATTCAACTGGGTCCCTGTCTATTCTCAACGCAAAAGATATCAAGGACCAGTTTGCGGTCAAACAACATGGTCTACGACACACTCCGGCGCAGTAGTGACTCAGCATAACACAATTCTGGCTGGCATCTGAGACGCTAGAATCACAAAACTGTACCTACACCACGTGAAGCGGCTCTAACAAAGCATGATGACGTCATAATGTTTATCAATTGGCACCAATGACGTCATATTGCAAGGGGCATAAGCCATGGTGTTTTTGTTATGGAAATAGAACACTTGGTAAATGTGAAAAATATAAATCGTTTTAATGCAAAAAATATGTTAATTAAATATGATGTTTTTATATTTTTGTCTATGACACTTCTATGTTAACACTTTTAATGTGGAAAAAGTACAAGAAAAATTGGTTCATTTCCGTGTGAACTTGCCCTTTAAGCAAATGCAAGTGATATGAGAAGTGGAATCTGATTGGTCAATGGGAGGGACATAGAAGGAACATAACTCGTAATAGCCACTGGTGGTGCTATGATCAAGCCCAGAAATTCTTGGTTTCTGGCGCTCGTTTGAGACAAATGACTACAAATCCGAAACAAACTGTTCCATGATCTCCCACTCAACTGCCATGCACACGTGGCTGGTAACACGAGGACGAGGGTCAGGTGAAAAACATTTAATCACTTTCCTCGGAGTCAAAACTGTCGGGTGAACAAAAACAGGGACCATGTGACTACTGTCATCCCCATTCTGGCAATTTACGATACTCCTGTTCTATTATTAGCACATGGTCTTCTGCACTTTGTCATCAACCATAAAATGATGCACATGTAGGATATTTCACATCAGATAATGTCCAAGTCGTGTTGTGTCTGTCCACAAATCATAGAGTTTTTCATTTCAGTACTCAATAAACTTATCAGAGTGCTCTGTGGATGTGGGCAGGTATTACTGACCCTTCATGCATCCCATCCTTCCCCAGTTTGGGCGGCTATTCATATTGGACTGACATTTCTGGAACTTAATTATGAATGAGCTCATTTGGCAAAAAGAGGACAAAATATGTTTCAATTTATTTCTGTGACTACAATATATATATATTTATATACAATATTACACTAGAGACCATATACCGATATGATATATATATATATACCATATCGGTATATGGTCTCTGGTGTAAATGAAAATTGCAGATTTGCCTAAAATGATTTGTACATGAGGCATTTTATGGAAGCTTCTGACATAGGAGTTGTCTCCACATTGTAAATTGTCAACCAAGTCCAATCTCATTAAAACCAGATCTTTCACTCTGATATGGTAGCTCTCTGCGTGAAGATCTGATAAATTCTCCTTGGAGCCCGCATCAGGTGATCTTACTTATCAGCCAATCAGCATCAAGGCTTCTAAAATTGAACTGTCGAGGGAATATTTATTCTGTGTGGTTTTCTTTTGTTTAAATTGAAATCTCCAGATCAAGGTGATAAAGATGAAGAAGAACTGTTTTAGAAAGCTGGCTGAATCCTTTGTTATGTCTTACTCCATGAAAAATACTTTTTCATCAAGATATACACCAAACACACCCCTAAGGATGTAGAAACAAAATAAATCCTCATGCAAATTTGGAGTTGTATACCAAGTAAATATCTGCAAAGAGAAATCCCATTTTTTAAAATAAATTCACAATTTGACAAATTCAGACAACTTACAAATTACCTGGGTCAGCTTTCATGTAGATTTCCTTCAGGTAGCTGGCACCGTTCAGGGAGTCAAGTGTACATTTAGGCTTCTGTAAACAAACGTGGTGATGCTGAGGTCACGTGACATGTTCACGATAATAATCATCACAAGACAGATCTGGCAGTGTTGGCTGTTGGGGCCAGAGTGTGCATGATGATTGTGAAAAACAGTTTTTTCGAATTGGGTTTTATTAGGTCTTTTCTCAGGACCATGTAACTAATAATAACAAGAGTTTGCCACTAACGCGGCTATATCCCTCGCCCCTGTTGCAGAATTTATGACATAATTAAATATAAACAAACCCTAAACTTTTTTAACCGAGGTGGAACTTGTCATGGAAATTGAGTTTGGAACCTAAGTCCATCTGGTTGTGATGGAAACGTAAAAAAATATAAATTTCTAAAATTTCTAAATAGCAAAAGGCACCAGTTCAGCATGTACCTGACAGACCTGCAAAGTTTGATGAAAAAATATTGAATTGTTTATGAGTTATGCTCCAGAAACGAACCCTACCCTCACAGAACCTAAGTCCATCTTGTTGCCATGGAAACGTATAAAAATAAAAATTTCTAAAATTTCTAAATAGCAAAAGGCACCAGATCAGCAAGTTTGATGAAAAAATATTGAACGGTTTATGAGTCATGCTCCAGAAACGAAACGTGACGGACGGACGGACGGAGCCCATTTCTATATCCCCCGCCAACTTTGTTGGGCGGGGGATAATAACAGCCAAACTTACAAGGCGGCTTCATCTACGAGTTTGTTTCTTATTATTAGTTACATGGCGGCCTCGTCTGCGAGATTTGTTGTTATTATTAGTTACATAGTCCCGTGGTCTTTTGAAAGAAAAAATGGTTGTTAGTCAAGTATCATATGACTACATATGCAGAGCTCTAGATAAGATGTTGTTTTCTTGGCGTATTTTACCCAGGGGTTTGATTTTGATTGGGTATACAAAATTTTTAGAGGGTAATCTTTTTTTTTTACTCACCCGTTTCTTGACATTTTTATTTAACCTCTTTCTCAACAATCCCTGTAAATCATTTAAAACTAAATTAATAGTATTATGCCCGTCTGCGTCTGCTTGAGGCTCCCTCACCGGGAAGCCATTTTTGTTTGTTACTTGATATACTCCATCGTTTCCAGAATTGGTTGCACAATATTGATAATATGTTAGTATGTTGAAAAATGTTGATATGTTCATCGGTTTCTTATTGAATGTATAGTGTAGAGGACTACTTCAGATTGGGATTGGTAATATAATTTTGTAAGAAAGTCGCTGTTCTTTTAATCACCCATCAGTGTATGGGCGGTCAAAATACATGTACTAATGTTAGGCAGATGTTGGATTACACAGTATACTGTATTTATAAAAAGGCCCTATATATGTGTGACGTCAGACGGTGAGTGCACGAGGAATGACGTAATACATTGTGCACCCCGGCATGCAGTTATCATACACACAGCGGAACAAGCCGATTAAACTCGGAATGTTTTACAAATTGCAGCACCATCTGGCGTTCTTTATTGTCAACGTCCTTTCGTGCTCTCTGGCATTCTTTAATGAAAACGTCCTTTCTTGCTCACTGACGTTCTCTATTGAAAACGTTCTTTCGTACACATTGTTCTTTCTTTTCTTATGACGTCTTTCCGTAACATTTGACTATGAATATTGCATACTTTCGACATTTATTTCAACTTTGTATGTTTAACCGGCGTCTGTTTGTTTTGTATTTTGACCTTTAGTAGTAACATTTAAGTTCTTTATTCATAATATTTAACCTTAATTGCGTAATTTTGTCCTTTTTTTCGACTTTGTATTTTTTGACCAAATGGCCACCCATATCAGCGACTGTTAAACATACATGGACAGATGTGCTTTCAATTGGAATCTATCTGTATTCTAGTTTGTTTGTCGCACAAGCTTTTCCGAATGTAACTGTCGATAAGTGAATTTGGTGATAGGCTGACACACAATCATTATATTTAACACTTGTAATATATGCATTAGTTTTATATCAATAGCATATTTATAGTTTTTGTTGCGCATTTGATTTTTCTGCATATTCCAGTTTATTTAATGCGCATTATATGTAAATACACAGTTTATCTTGAGCTCTGCAAATATACAATGTACTCAAAGTTTCTTTTTTATCTGTATACTGCCTGAGAGTTGAATTTTATGAACTTTATATATACACATATATATACAAATACATTATGCTGGTTCTTCAGCAACCCATGCTTGCCGGCGATTTTACTTGTCGTAAGAAGCAACTAACGGGATCAGGTTGTCAGGCTCGCTGTCTTGGTTGATGCATGGCATCATATCTCAATTGCGTGGAAAGATGCTCATGATGTCCATCACTGGATTGTCTGGTCCAGATTCGATTATTTACAGACCGCCATCATACAGCTGGAATATTGCTGAGTGAGGCGTTAAACAACAAGCAAACAAACATTATGCTGCATCTGCAGTGTACTATTATTGTTTCTATGTACACCTGTGCACTAGCAACATTGTCTGTATTGCACCCTATGTTGAGGATCCCGAATGACCAAAGGTATTTGTATTGATGTTGCAATTAGATGTTCTTGTCAAACAACACAAATAAAGACATCAAAATATTTTTACAGAAATCATGGAAGTGTAAATTTTCAAAGCTCACCTGATCAGTGAAGTTCCACCCTCCCTCTCCCAACATCCAATCCACGACAGTACAGGAGATGACATCGTCCAACCCCTTCAGTGCTCGAAGTATGAGGGCACGGTGGGCCCAGGGACACGCCAGGGAGACGTACAGATGGTAGCGTTTGGCCTCCGCTTTGAATCCACTTGATCCATCAGCTGGAGGAGACAGAAAAGCAATGTGATGTAAGGGAGATAACTCTCATTAGGTTCTGAAATGAACACTGGTCTGTCAGTGGTATAAGGAAATAGACTAAAAGGGTGGGATTGGAAGGTGTGGATTGAGTTTGTTATCTGGGGCGGAATGGGCAGGTGGTGTGGAATAGGGTTGGGTGGAATGAGATGGTTTGGTATGGGTAGCGATAGGGTGGGGTGGAATGAGATGGTTTGGTATGGGTAGGAATAGGGTGGGATGGAATGAGATGGTTTGGTATGGGTAGCGATAGGGTGGGGTGGAATGAGATGGTTTGGTATGGGTAGGAATAGGGTGGGGTGGAATGAGATGGTTTGGTATGGGTAGCGATAGGGTGGGGTGGAATGAGATGGTTTGGTATGGGTAGGAATAGGGTGGGGTGGAATGAGATGGTTTGGTATGGGTAGGAATAGGGTGGGGTGGAATGAGATGGTTTGGTATGGGTAGCGATAGGGTGGGGTGGAATGAGATGGTTTGGTATGGGTAGCGATAGGGTGGGGTGGAATGAGATGGTTTGGTATGGGTAGGAATAGGGTGGGGTGGAATGAGATGGTTTGGTATGGGGTGGAATAGGGTGGGGTGGAATGAGATGGTTTGGTATGGGGAGGAATAGGGTGGGGTGGAATGAGATGGTTTGGTATGGGGTGGAATAGGGTGGGGTGGAATGAGATGGTTTGGTATGGGGAGGAATAGGGTGGGATGGAATGAGATGGTTTGGTATGGGGTGGAATTGGGTGGGGTGGAATGAGATGGTTTGGTATGGGGTGGAATTGGGTGGGGTGGAATGAGATGGTTTGGTATAGGGTGGAATAGGTGTGGTTGAATGAGGCGGGGTGGTGTAGGTGGGTAGTTTGGTGTGAGGTGGTGTATGTTGCTAGTATGGTGTGGAGTGGTATAAGCTAGTGTGGTGTATGTTGTTAGTGTGATGTGGAGTGGTGTATGTTGTTAGTGTGGTGTGGAGTGGTGTATGCTAGTGTGGTGTATGTTGCTAGTATGGTGTGGGGTGGTGTATGTTGTTAGTGTGGTGTGGAGTGGTGTATGCTAGTGTGGTGTATGTTGCTAGTATGGTGTGGGGTGGTGTATGTTGTTAGTGTGGTGTGGAGTGGTGTATGCTAGTGTGGTGTATGTTGTTAGTGTGGTGTATGTTGTTAGTGTGGTGTGGAGTGGTGTATGCTAGTGTGGTGTATGTTGTTAGTGTGGTGTGGGGTGGTGTATGTTGTGAGTGTGGTGTGGAGTGGTGTATGCTAGTGTGGTGTATGTTGTTAGTGTGGTGTGGGGTGGTGTATGTTGTTAGTGTGGTGTGGAGTGGTATAAGCTAGTGTGGTGTATGTTGTTAGTGTGATGTGGAGTGGTGTATGTTGTTAGTGTGGTGTGGAGTGGTGTATGCTAGTGTGGTGTATGTTGCTAGTGTGGTGTATGTTGCTAGTGTGGGGTGATGTATGTTGTTAGTGTGGTGTGGAGTGGTGTATGCTAGTGTGGTGTATGTTGCTAGTATGGTGTAGGGTGGTGTATGTTGTTAGTGTGGTGTGGAGTGGTGTATGCTAGTGTGGTGTATGTTGTTAGTGTGGTGTGGGGTGGTGTATGCTAGTGTGGTGTATGTTGTTAGTGTGGTGTGGGATGGTGTATGTTGTTAGTGTGGTGTGGAGTGGTGTATGCTAGTGTGGTGTATGTTGTTAGTGTGGTGTGGGATGGTGTATGTTGTTAGTGTGGTATGGAGTGGTGTATGCTAGTGTGGTGTATGTTGTTAGTGTGGTGTGGGGTGGTGTATGTTGTTAGTGTGGTGTGGAGTGGTGTATGCTAGTGTGGTGTATGTTGTTAGTGTGGTGTGGGATGGTGTATGTTGTTAGTGTGGTGTGGAGTGGTGTATGCTAGTGTGGTGTATGTTGCTAGTGTGGGATGGTGTATGTTGTTAGTGTGGTGTGGAGTGGTGTATGCTAGTGTGGTGTATGTTGTTAGTGTGGTGTGGAGTGGTGTATGCTAGTGTGGTGTATGTTGTTAGTGTGGTGTGGGGTGGGATAACAAACAGTACAACTATGGCAATATTATCAGAAATGTTTAGTTTGCAACACAGTTGTCATTGTCATAATGCCCCAACACAATGAACAATCACTGCAAAAATTTATTTGGAAAAAAATCGATGTCTCCACACAAAATGTTGCTTTGTTTTGCCTCGCATAGAATCAAATTTACTTTCAGAGGATTGTGATATCACCCCTCCCAAAGTCATGAAATGCGAGATATTCCCTTTGTAATACATGTTTTAATCAACTTTAGATACATCACAGACTATATAAAATGCTTTCATAATATTGATGCTACTTGTTTTCCCTGTAATCAGAGGACCATGAAAGTAATACTATATCAAATATTGATTGTGTGTTGTTTAACCTGCACTACATCCACATGACGGCGGAATGTAAATAATTGAGTCTGGACCTGACAATCCAGTGATTAACATCAACAGCATCGATCAACGCAATTCCGATACTATGACACATATCACTGGACCACAGGAACTCGATATTGCTCTATGTAAAAGAATACGCACCCCTATACTACATAGGTGTCCTATATTTTTACTAAGAGCAATATCGAGTTCCTGTGCACAGGACCGGGTAGATACAAATCTATAATACTGAACTCAATGCCGAAATCTCACGCAAGGCCTCGTGTGATATTAGGGCATCGACTTTGTTAATATAGACTTTTTTTATGTGGTCCTGTGCAACCTCTGAAGTCAGCAGCCGTGACCACAGGAGTCTGTATCTAAAAATAGACGCCCTCATGCATATTCATGACCATCTCCACACGCGAGCCCGAAGGAGATGGTCATGAATATGCATGAGGGCGTCTATTTTTAGATACAGACTCCTGTGCCGTGACCACCAGATCAGATTAGTCGCCTCTTTCTAACCAAATCTATACCGTATCGTCACGGGTGAATGTAATATATACTAAGTTAGTTAGTGTCATGTTTCTAGGCCTGTAAGAGTTATTTCAAGCCTGTCGCTAAAACAATGTAATAAAGTCGATGAACATCAAACGTAACGCTCAAGATTATTTCAAATGAATAACGCCGCGGCAAGTCTAGGCACAACAATGACTTGCAGTTTGTCTCACCGGTTACAGCATTCCTGAATGCAGACTGTTTCCTGACAAAAGCTCCCTTCTCGCTTATTGACGACTTCCACGAGCCAGTCGCGTTGTTGCCACTTCCACCTGAGCTCATTTTCGCAAAGTTTGACAGATGTGTAGCCTTTCCAAACACCAACAACTTCGGAGCAGACAACAGAGTGATCGCCGATCTCCGCATGTGTCCGTGAAATAACCGACTGTGGTTGGAAAACCACCCGAATGCTTCCGATGTTCTGATCAGCCCTAGCAACGAGCGGCTGGAACCGAAAACGCGTAGAAGCATAAATTACACAACACATCTGAATGACAATGTTATGTTATATTTTATCACTTCAGATAGAACATGTTATCCCAATACAAAATTGCATTATGTTGGTCAATATTAGTATATATGAAGTTAATCTATTGTGATACATATTAAATACATGTAAAATAGGTTAGGCAAATTTGTCAATTCAGCATGATTATGCAAAAAGGCTGCGGCATGACGAGCAGAAGGTCATAAATTTATCGTTTTCACATTTCGTGTACGAGACATATTTTCCCGTATGATATAAGCTTAAGTGATATTTAAGTTTCGTAATATTTGGGATAGAATTTGAGCATATTTGGTAGAAGATATATTGCTCTGTTGCAATTTAAAAAAAGTGCAAGACGTCATTATGTTTTTCTTTAACCCTAGTAATGATATATTAAAACAACTAAACCGACATTACGATTCATGACGATTGTTAATGTTATATTAACAAAACAAAACACAGCATACGATTGATTCATGACATTTACCTGTGACCTATGACAACATGGTTTCACACGAGTGAGTGAGTGATTATTGTTCATGACACAGTTATGATTTCTCCATCTATAACTTGGGCTCCCCAAACCACTGGTCAATAGCATGAGCAACCAGTCCAGCTTTAGGCTATATGTCACACATGTTAGCCACGTGATCCTTATTTCAGTCAGCTCTTGCGACGGATAAGCATGTACTATGCTGGCTGGCTGCCGGCCGCATGGAACTCTGGGTAAAAATGTGCTCAAAGGAAGACACGTCCAGTTTCGAATCCAATCTGTCGTATAATGGAACATCATAAGCACGTGATTAAAACGTCATACTGCATTACAACTGAAATCAGTGACGTCATCAAAAGATACTCTGGGCTTGGTGGGAGCTGCAAGCGCAAGGTAAGTCCTAATTTTGGACTTGAACTTTCTAATGTTTTGTTCCCGGTCGAAATAGCAACATTCTTAGAGTAACATGTTCAGCCTTGTGCGAATAATTGTATTAAGCCACGTTATCCAAATAATGTAAAAATACTATATCTGAAGTAGATTTTGAATTCCACCAAATTAAGTAATTTGATAGATCTACCCGAAAAATGAAGACACCTAGTACAATTTTTAGAGATTAGCACTTTTTATTGTTCTCAATTAGGCATCATGGGGTATATTATGGACTACGATTACGAAATTGTCGGATGAGGCTAATATCCTCGTGTTATCAGTGTTCCCGCTGGCTCTTGAAACTGCCAGTCCTGTTGGACTGGTAACTCTAAAAATTGCCAGTCTCCCCTAATATTTGTCAGTCCAAACTTTCAACAAATAAAATAACGTATGAAAATTACCTGGTTATAATTCTTTCAACATCATGTTCAATGCAATGATGTCATCTCTGAAGTAGCTTAGTTAGATCTACACATTATTCACACAAAGTTCAGTCACAATTATCTAATCTTTTTTTTGACATTTCAAGATGAAGTCACTACAAATATTGTTAACCTTGAAGCAAAGTAAAATATTAACTCCTTGCACTAAAAATCGACGAGGGGAAACTCTGATGGTAAAAGACAAGCTGACTTTGTTTGAAAAATATACTTATATGAATATCACAGATTAATAAGACACTTTATTGCCGGTCCACAAGGACTGGCAGTCACATGAATTACCGGTCCAAGCCTAATTTTACCAGTAAAAAACTGGTAAATACCGGTAAACGGGAACACTGGTTATGGAAGTTCGATCACTTATGAAAAGTCGCTGAATATTCATAGTAACATAATATCTATAGGTTTACCTGTATGTAGATCTCATGCGTAACCCACCTTTCTTTCAGGGGTTCTTAGGCTCCGAGAGCCCAATGTACATCACGCAAAAAGTGGCCACCCAATAAAGGTATGAGAAATCAATACCAGATATACACCCCGAATATTTTAGGAATGTAAGCAAGACTCGCCACGGTTGACCCTCGAGGTCAGTGAGAAGGGGGGTAACTCTCAATGCACTTATATATTACTCCGCTTTCTATTTTTACTCGTACAGTTGGAATGTTGAGCTCAAGGGTAAAGATATTGATTATATCTTAAAACCTATGATATTTCAGTGTCATTGTATATGTATTATAGAGCGTGTACATAGTAATGGTTAAAAGAAAACCAAAAAAAGTTTATCATTTAAATGGTAAAGTGTGTGTGTATGCGTGCGTGCGTGCGTGCGTGCGTGCGTGCATGCGTGCGTGCATGCAGGCGCGCACTGTGTCCAAAATTCAGAGTATCACGAAATAAATGAAATTTACTCACAGAACCAGATGAATATGGGAATATTAGCACTGATTTATCACAGGTCCTTGGTCATATTTTTTTATTGTTTCTAAGGGTTTGTCATTATTTAAGTTGTGACATTTACCATGTCATGTTTAACAAAACGCTATGAAAATACATCCTCGTGACCGCTGTAGTGGCCCCGACAGCAGAGTTGGACGTCCACTTACGGCCAGTCGCCCACATAGTCAAAACTACCAGTAATGCCAGATGTTATCATTGTACAGGTGTGCAGAGCTACCCTGGTCCATCCGACTGTTTGGCAGCCATATCCAAGGGAAGAGGTTTTGTGCCTTAACGTACACTAGCGAGGGGTTCCATTCATACAGGCTAATGGTTGAAGAGAAAAGAATACATGTACATACACGTGAGTCTGTGTAAGTGCGTGCCAGACGGTTCAGTATTTTCCATTTTGTGTACTCTCTTTTTCTAAACGTTCAATATGTTTCTACGTAACTACGTTACTGAAGGGACCCGTGAAGATCCGGGGTAGAAGGGGTGTTCAGCCAAAAGGCGACTATGCTCGTCGTAACAGGCGACTAACAGGATCGGGTGGTCAGGCTCGCTGACTTGGTTGATACATGTCATCGGTCCTAATTGCGTGGATAGATGCTCATGATGTTAATCACTGGATTCTCTGGTCCAGACTCGATTATTTACAGACCGTGCACAACGAGCTCGTGCACATCCCTTACCAATGGCGGAAGGTGTCTGGTAAACTGCATTCTTGCCAGTCTATATGTTATTATGACAGTCTATATATTATTTTCAAGATTGTATCGATACTGGTATTGATAGGAAATTAAGAGAATATTAAGGACAGTTTAAAAGAACAATCTGTTCGTGCCAATACAGTATGAAGAAATTTGAAACAAACCTTGACATGCTAGAATGTTATTGGGTACCCGCAATGCGTTATTAAATCATCTGATTTAATTCCATCTGGTTAGTCCTTCTTGCAGTGTAACCTTGGCTTGTTCAACCACCGAAGCTCGTAGACATTCAGAGGATATCCGGTGTTGTACGTGTCCCACCAGAGCGTCATTCCGGTCATTCAACAAGTTGGAAGTTAGGACAACCGGTTACAACGAGGCGAGTGAGGCAACTATCACGTAATATGTTGTACAGTAAACTATGGTTATAACGAACACGCTTATAACGAACTGATGGATATAACGAACTAACTTTTTAGTCCCGACTATTTGCTGTAGTTGTGCCGTATATATGCTTATAACGAACTACGGTTATAACGAACTAAAAATAGTAGTCCCTTTGAGTTCGTTATAACCCTTGTTTACTGTATAACGTAATACACCGATGTGTTAATGTTGTCCAAGTTGAAAATACCACACACAGGAATTCGTAGCTGGTCATAAAATATAAGTGTTCATAGCCCATGTATCCTATGAGCCCTACATATCGTTTATGATCTTTTTTATTCTATGTCTCTCATGGGCTCATTTGTCACCTCTCGTCCGTTTCCGTTACCAGCACGGAATTACACGAGTGGTCACGAATGACATGATCTATGATTTTTTTTTTATTTTATCAACGGCTAATTCCTTTGTATCATAGCGACCTGTATTGGCCGAATGTGGGCTACGCACGTTGCTACAGTTATCTTCACTAATCAGTCTTGAGTGGGAGAATTAAACATTTTGCAGCCAGTCCCAGCGTAAAAAGTTACATAAAGTTAAAGTAACCTCGAGCTATATGACTGTAATGTATGTCAATACAGCCTTCCAATATACATGTACACACAAAACACAACATCAAATGATTAAGTACTGGTATAGACACGAGTCTATGATAAATGTTTCTGGGTTTGTTTAGTGGTAAACGTTTCAGAGCTGCATCACTTCGGGTTTCCTCCCACAGTTAGATGACACGCCGTGATGTAACTGTTATATCAAACTCACTCACTCACTCTAAAGTATGGCATTATATGTTTCGTGATTCATCGTAAGGAGGGTTTGCTTTGTCGGTATACATTTGTATTGGTGTGTTAATGTGACAATCAGCCTGTGGAATATGTCTGTATGTTTTACATTTCTCTATTCACGTTGTTGGTGTGTTGACGGAGTTCTGTCTGTGACAACCAGCCTGTGGTATATGTCTGTATGTTTTACATTTCTCTATTCACGTTGTTGGTGTGTTGACGGAGTTCTGTCTGTGACAACCAGCCTGTGGTATATGTCTGTATGTTTTACATTTCTCTATTCACGTTGTTGGTGTGTTGTGGGAGTTCTGTCTGTGACAACCAGCCTGTGGTATATGTCTGTATGTTTTACATTTCTCTATTCACGTTGTTGGTGTGTTGACGGAGTTCTGTCTGTGACAACCAGCCTGTGGTATATGTCTGTATGTTTTACATTTCTCTATTCACGTTGTTGGTGTGTTGACGGAGTTCTGTCTGTGACAACCAGCCTGTGGTATATGTCTGTATGTTTTACATTTCTCTATTCACGTTGTTGGTGTGTTGTGGGAGTTCTGTCTGTGACAACCAGCCTGTGGTATATGTCTGTATGTTTTACATTTCTCTATTCACGTTGTTGGTGTGTTGACGGATCGGAGTTCTGTCTGTGACAACCAGCCTGTGGTATATGTCTGTATGTTTTACATTTCTCTATTCACGTTGTTGGTGTGTTGACGGAGTTCTGTCTGTGACAACCAGCCTGTGGTATATGTCTGTATATGTTTTACATTTCTCTATTCACGTTGTTGGTGTGTTGACGGAGTTCTGTCTGTGACAACCAGCCTGTGGTATATGTCTGTATGTTTTACATTTCTCTATTCACGTTGTTGGTGTGTTGTGGGAGTTCTGTCTGTGACAACCAGCCTGTGGTATATGTCTGTATGTTTTACATTTCTCTATTCACGTTGTTGGTGTGTTGACGGAGTTCTGTCTGTGACAACCAGCCTGTGGTATATGTCTGTATGTTTTACATTTCTCTATTCACGTTGTTGGTGTGTTGACGGAGTTCTGTCTGTGACAACCAGCCTGTGGTATATGTCTGTATGTTTTACATTTCTCTATTCACGTTGTTGGTGTGTTGACGGAGTTCTGTCTGTGACAACCAGCCTGTGGTATATGTCTGTATGTTTTACATTTCTCTAGTCACGTTGTTGGTGTGTTGACAGGACTCCTTCTGTGACAACCAGCCTGTGGCACTGTCAGACCGCCGAACACTCTCAGTCAGATGAAGGGACGGATGGATGCCCCGTGGTTGTGAAAGAGAGAAGAGAAGAGGGATAGGGGGAAGGGGTTTTTTTCACACAAGGGAGGGTCAGATTTCACCTTAACGGGTGGGGATCACTGTTTAACAGCAGTGTGTGTAAGAGCTGTGAATGTGAATGACGTCCTTCCTCCGCCGTCGAACCTAATCGTTTCATATTTTCGATTTTTTTCTGAACGATTTGGAGCTAATTGTGAAGCCTGGGCTTTGGAGAGAATCTATGTCAAGGCCGTTCGTCCCTCTGATTGTGATTTTGTCTGGGCCCACTTGCACAAAGCTATTGTTGCACATCGACTATTGTAGCTTCGTTGTCAATAACGGAGGTACAACTGTCCGAACGCCAACATCAGTTTGTGCAAGTGAGCCCAGGTGTTGGTCTGCCATCCAATATGGCCGCCACACAGACATATTTGATTCATAGAATTGACAACTGCAACCATATGGCAATTCCTATCGCAATTTCATTATTGATTGTATGCCGCTGTGGTAAATATATATCTAGAGGGTACAGGGTTCATGAACGTAAGGTGTAACGGTTAATATTTATGAAAGAAACGACTCGTGATCGTTGTTTATCGTACAATCAAACACCACAGGGAGAAAACACACACTAAGGCTGCAGCTTGTAGATTTAAAGATGCTGAACAAGGGTAATATGATTAATATATGTAGAGTATTTATCACTCTCCGAAATTAATGGAGGAAATAAAGATCATTCATTCATTCATTCATTCATTATGTAATGTGTAAGGGTGCTATACGTATTTAGGGCAATAGGAGTAATATATGTAGAGTATAAGGGTTAATAGCTGTAGTGTGTGCTGTGTAATATATCATGTTTGGTGTGATGGTAATATATGAAATGTGTAAGGGTGCTATACGTATTTAGGGGTCTAGGAGTAGTATATGTAGGGTATAAGGGTTAATAGCTGTTGGGTGTGCTGTTTAATATGTCATGTTTGGTGTGATGGTAATATATGTAATGTGTAAGGGTGCTATACGTATTTAGGGGTCTAGGAGTAATATATGTAGGGTATAAGGGTTAATAGCTGAAGGGTGTGCTGTGTAATATATCATGTTTTGTGTGATGGTAATATATGTAATGTGTAAGGGTGCTATACGTATTTAGGGGTCTAGGAGTAATATATGTAGGGTATAAGGGTTAATAGCTGTTGAGTGTGCTGTTTAATATGTCATGTTTGGTGTTATGGTAATATATGAAATGTGTAAGGGTCCCTTTACGTATTTAGGGGTATAGAAGTAATATATGTAGGGTATAAGGGTTAATAGCTGTTGGGTGTGCTGTTTAATATGTCATGTTTGGTGTTATGGTAATATATGTAATGTGTAAGGGTGCTATACGTATTTAGGGTTCTAGGAGTAATATATGTAGGGCATAAGGGTTAATAGCTGTAGGGTGTGCTGTGCAATATATGTTTGGTGTGATGGTAATATATGTACAGTGTAAGGATGCTATACGTATTTAGGGGTATAGGAGTAATATATGTAGGGGATAAGGGTTAATAGCTGTAGGGTGTGCTGTGTAATATATGTTTAGTGTGATGGTAATATATGTAAAATGTAAGGATACTATACGAATTTAGGGGTATAGGAGTAATATATGTAGGGTATAAGGGTTAATAGCTGTAGGGTGTGCTGTGTAATATATCATGTTTGGTGTAATGTTAATATATGTAATGTGTAAGGGTGCTATACGTATTTAGGGGTATAGGAGTAATATATGTAGGATATAAGGGGTAATAGCTGTTGGGTGTGCTGTTTAATATGTCATGTTTGGTGTTATGGTAATATATGTAAAGTGTAAGGGTGCTATACGTATTTAGGGGTATAGGAGTAATATATGTAGGGTATAAGGGTTAATAGCTGTAGGGTGTGCTGTGTAATATATCATGTTTTGTGTGATGGTAATATATGTAATGTGTAAGGGTGTTATACGTATTTAGGGGTATAGGAGTAATATATGTAGGATATAAGGGTTAATAGCTGTTGGGTGTGCTGTGTAATATATCATGTTTTGTGTGATGGTAATATATGTAATGTGTAAGGGTGCTATACGTATTTAGGGGTATAGGAGTAATATATGTAGGATATAAGGGTTAATAGCTGTTGGGTGTGCTGTGTAATATATCATGTTTTGTGTGATGGTAATATATGTAATGTGTAAGGGTGCTATACGTATTTAGGGGTATAGGAGTAATATATGTAGGGTATAAGGGTCAATAGCTGTAGGGTGTGCTGTGTAATATATCATGTTTCATGTGATGGTAATATATGTAATGTGTAAGGGTGCTTTACGTATTTAGGGGTATAGGAGTAATATATGTAGGATATAAGGGTTAATAGCTGTTGGGTGTGCTGTTTAATATGTCATGTTTGGTGTTATGGTAATATATGTAAAGTGTAAGGGTGCTATACGTATTTAGGGGTATAGGAGTAATATATGTAGGGTATAAGGGTTAATAGCTGTAGGGTGTGCTGTGCAATATATCATGTTTTGTGTGATGGTAATATATGTAATGTGTAAGGGTGCTATACGTATTTAGGGGTATAGGAGTAATATATGTAGGGGATAAGGGTTAATAGCTGTAGGGTGTGCTGTGTAATATATCATGTTTTGTGTGATGGTAATATATGTAATGTGTAAGGGTGCTATACGTATTTAGGGGTATAGGAGTAATATATGTAGGGTATAAGGGTTAATAGCTGAAGGGTGTGCTGTGTAATATATCATGTTTTGTGTGATGGTAATATATGTACAGTGTAAGGATGCTATACGTATTTAGGGGTATAGGAGTAATATATGTAGGATATAAGGGTTAATAGCTGAAGGGTGTG